CAGATAACTCAAACTAGCAATAAAAACAGAAAAAAAAACCGGATAAAAGAACACCATACTGCACAAAGGGGACTGTGAAGAGACGCAGCCATTTTATATATATTGTATTGTAATTTACACTGTACTATGTATTAGACCTAGATTTTGTGTGTATGTACTGATTTGTACGCTGTGTGACGTTTTAAATGTATGTATTTCAGTCCTTGATTAATAATGTTTTATACTTTGTATTATGTCATGCTTCATGTGGACCCCAGGAAGAGTAGCTGATGCTTTTGCAGAAGCTAATGGGGATCCTAATAAATACTAAATACCAAATGTCATTAGAGGCTAGCTCTTAAGGATCTCTTATTCCTCATTTTGTCACCACACACTTAACCGTGTGACATCGTTCCTGGTGTCATGGATCTGCTTGTGGCTGTCATGCAGTGACAGAGGAAGGCATAATGACACTGCCTCCTAGTCCTGAGGAGGGGAGAAGGAGAGGAGAGGAGAGTAGGGGAGAAGGAGAGGAGAGGAGGGGAGAAGGAGAGGAGAGGAGGGGAGAAGGAGAGGAGAAGGAGAGGAGAGGAGGGGAGAAGGAGAGGAGAGGAGGGGAGAAGGAGAGGAGAGGAGAGGAGAGGAGGGGAGAAGGAGAGGAGATTCAACAGAACAGAACAGTGTTTTTGTTGGTCCATAGTCTCTGCATGTTGTAGCTGCCCGCTCGGCCATTCCTGAACTCACCTCATCAGCTGGGGTCACATTTTCCACTCCTGTAGTATGGTGAAAGACAACCTGTGGAAAACACCTCAGCTAGCCACCCTACGGTCCTATTACATCTACGCTGCATCTCACTTTATTGGTGCTAAAATGCCACTGCTCTCCTGCAGGCTCTCTGGCTTTATGGTACTGCTGATTGTGTTTTAGACTGAAACGCACACACTCACGCACACACTCACGCACATACTCACGCATACACTCACGCACACACTCACGCACACACTCACGCATACACTCACGCACACACTCACGCATACACTCACACATACCCTCATGCACATACTCACAGTTGTGTCAAGTTGGCTGGATGTCCTTTGGGTGGTGGACCATTGTTGATACAAATGGGAAACTGTTGAGCGTGAAAAGCACAGCAGCGTTGCAGTTCTTGACACAAACCGGTGCGCCTGGCACCTACTACCATACCCCGTTCAAAGGCACTTAAATATTTTGTCTTGCCCATCCACCCTCTGAATGGCACAGATACACAATCCATGTCTCAATTGTCTCAAGGCATAAAAATCATTCTTTAACCTGTCTTCTCCCCTTCATCTACACTGATTGAAGTGTATTTAACAAGTGACATCAATAAGGGATCATAGCTTTCACCTGAATTCACCTGGTCAGTCTGTCATGGAAAGAGCAGGTGTTCTTAATGTTTTCTATACTAAGTGTATTAGAGTAAGCTATGTCAAGAATTCAGTGTATTAATAAATATGTGGTGTGTAGAAACAGTGGAACAAAAATTCAATGTACAGTAGTAGAAATAAGATAAATAAAGTATTTTGAGGACATTGGATATTAAGAGTAGATTCTGGGTAAAGCTAAGGAGGTCGGGCACAGACTGACAGTCCAGTGGTAGCTCTCATAATAAGACATTCTGTAAATTATGTGGTATTATTGTCATGTCCTTGTGTTAAAGGCTTAATACTCAATGAGTTCTAGAGAATGCGTATTTGTCAGTTTACTGTTCTGTTGTGCATCGGCTGATTTTCCCATGACAAACTGACCCTCTCTGGTTTAAATTAGACTGCAGTACACACACACACACACACACACACACACACACACACATTCATACAAGCTCTGTAAACCATCAGCAGCAATAATCACTACAAGACCTGGTATTGACACAGCACTGTGTGTGTACTCCGTGTGTGTGTGGTTGCATGTAGCTGGTTTGCGTAGATTTGTAAACAATACCTGGCACACACACACACACACACTAACCTCCTCAATCTGAGGCTCAGAGACAGAGACCTGTGTTTACATCAGTCAGTACTACCTTCTGTTTCATACAGAAACATTACCCTGGGGGTAGGGGGGCTTACTGTTGTGTCACAGGACCACCTGTATGTATGTGTGCGTCCATGCGTGTTCTACTGTTCTCACCTCTCCATGCACTCCCCTATGCCTATGTGATCTCACTTTCCTAACTACTTCCAGGAGTTTAAATGTTTTCATATTGGTGATAATGATTTATAACAAGTTGAATGGCTTTCCTCTCTTCATACACTACACACCACACACACACACACACACACACACACACACACACACACACACACACACTCAGTGGGCTATCAGTCAGAGGCCAAAGATCAGAGGTGAGCCTTATTGAAGAGATTATTTAGTGGGAGCCAGTGGTAGGGGCACCTGTGTTAGAGGTCAAATAGAGCTCCTTCAAACCAATACACCTGAGGGGAGAGAACTAACCTCCCACCTACTCTATTCTCTCTCTCCCTCCCTTCCTCTACTTTCTCTCTATCTCCCTCTTTTACCAGAGTATTAGCAACTTCCATTTTCCATCTGCATAGTAACATAGTGACAACGCAGTAGCCATGGTTCTATTTCCCTCCTTCCTTCTGAACTTTCAGTAGGGAAGAAATCAAGAGTGCTGATTTAGTCTACACACAGACACACACAATGAATACAGTGCCAGTTCTAAACTGTTACCCTTCATTAATATTGTGGCTGTGTTTAACGAGGGGACTGTTAGATGGTGAAGGATGTGAGGAGTTTGTTGTGTCAGTGTTGTTAGGTTCTGCTGTTAGTTCAGCATTATGACTAATAGCTCTGTTAAAGTGGTGTGTATCAAACCTGTTTACTCATTAGCAGTTACTGTAGTATGTTACAGTGGAGTGACTCAGCTTACATATGCGTACACACACACACACGCACACACACACACAAACACACACACACACACAGCGCAAACTGCTCCCAACTACTGAAACACTGTTTCCACACAGGAGAGAGCTCAAAGTGTGTGGAAATGGTTTACATGTTTTGTTTGAACTTTTTTTTGGGGGGGGAGTGTTAATGGTTTGAGTGTGTGTGTGTGTATGTGTGCATGTGCCTCCGTGCAGTTGTGTGTCTGTGTGTGTGTCGTAACCTCTGTAATGAAGTCCGTCTCTCCCTGTGTGTGTTGACTCCAGGGTTGAAGTGAGTCTGAGTGTTTCAGGATGAGTAAAACTATGCTGGAGAACGTCACCCCGAATCAAGATAATAGATCAATTATTGATTTGTGGAAACTACAGTACTTTGGATCGACGCAAGCTACACACCTTTTTAAATGTAGTGAAAACCTGATATAAATGTGTAAAAACGTATACAAGTTTTAACCCTTTAACAAGCCAACCTGTGGTGTCAGACCGACTGTAGTCAATCACACTACTGTCTTCTGTTTGATGTAGGTCGTTCAGCGGGTGAATGAAGCTGACATTTGATTTGCCCCCGTTTTCCCTAACACACACACACACACACACACACACACACACACACACACACACACACACACACACACACACACACACACACACACACACACAGGTATTTGACATGACCATGTGTTTCCAGTCCTCCCTAACAGGCCACCTGAAACACACTTCCTGTTTCCAGGAGACCAGGCTGTAAACCTGCCTCATTAGCCCAATGACCTGTTCCACCTCCCTCCCTGCACTTGTGTGTGTGTGGGGGAAGGGGGGGGGGGGGGGGTAGTATACATTCCAATGTGGTTTTCCATACAGGTATACGGCCATTGGTCAAAATAAAGTAAAATAAATCCCAGCACACTCTCATTGCTCTGATGCAATACATGTAATACATACCAGTACAGTCATTGTTTTACTGCTTGGATTATACTGACATTTTAGAGTGTGTGTTGGCAGGAGGGACCCCCATCAACGTCCAAGGCAGCAACCAATAAGGACCAGTCTCCTCAGCGTTCTACTGATGTCAGTCCTGACGCTGAGGACCTGTTTAAGGACTTCTGAGTACTGTCCTTTCACTCCTCCATCAAATTCTGTCTATCCCTTACCCCTTTTATCTCTCTATCCTCCATCACTTACTTCTCTGTCACTCTATCAGCCGGTCCCAACTCGCTCCCTACCCCTTCCCCTTAGCCCTAATTAACCCTTTGATGTTTGTAAATCTGCAAGATCTTGATAGGTATAAGCAGTGTAGTGATGGAGCTTCCACCAATTTCCTTCCACCTTACAGATCTGCAAACATCAAAGGGTTAGGGCCAAGGGGAAGGGGTAGGAAGCAAATTGGATATTCTATCACTCACTATTTTCCCTCTCTATCCCCCATCCCTTGCTTCTCTGTCTCTCTTCTCTATCGCTCTACACAGGGGTGGCCAACACCTGGTACTAATCAGCTGCTCATCATAAGGACCTTGACAAGCTGAATCAGTTGTAATGGCAGGACTGGAACTAAAGCCCACTAGCTCTACAGAAGTGTTGGCCACCCTTGCTCTATCCTCCATCTCTCCACCTATCAATCCTCTACCACTCAAATCTGTGTCATTCTCTATCACTGAAACTACTAAACAAAATTACAGAGGATCTCAAATAGACTGTTAAATAGACAGAAGTGAAGAAGTATTTTTATACTGTACCATTGTTTACCAAGGGGATAATTTATAATAATGTAAGGGGATGTTTTTATACTCAAGATGGACAAACATGACCTAAAGCTCAGTGTGCTTATTTTAACATGATGAAGAGAAGTGCCAGTTCTTTACTTAATGCTATATGTGAATGAAACGCTAATAAGGTGTGAGAAAATAAAGTGAAGGCTAAGATAAAATATAACAAGGGCTGTTGTGTTCTCTAGTGTGTTAGCTGTGGTTTGCTAATGATCTGTTTTGGGTAGGCTACACACAGAAAATGTTGGAAAGAAACTTCTCTTATATCGCATCCTTTATAAAGCATCCCGGAGGACATTGAAAACATTGTGAAATGATTACCGGTAAATTCTTTTGTTTGGATTCTGCATGCGTGCGCTACTGAGTCATTTGAACTTATAGACCAGAAATTGGGTTAGGCAACCCCATCTCCGCGGTCTTCTATAGCTCAATTGGTAGAGCATGGCGCTTCTAACGCCAGGGTAGTGGGTTCGATCCCCGGGACCACCCATACGTAAAAATGTATGTACACATGACTGTAAGTCGCTTTGGATAAAAGCCTCTGCTAAATGGCATATTATATTATTATTATCTCTCTCTCTCCTGTGTGTTTTACGATACGGGGCGGTATCGACATTGGGGTGTAGGACATGTGCGGCCCCTCCTCTAGCTGGTGACGGATAATAGTAGTGGGTGTGAGGTGGATTTGAACTTGCAGCCGGGGCAGAGTGGAGGAGACTCCTAGCTAATGTCCGAGCAGACTGCGCTGCTGGAATTAAACTAGATCGAAAACTTACTTGGTGGATATCTGGACCCAAGGTAGGATATTATCGTTGCTTTACTCCGTCGCTTACGAGTCGATTTGCAGTGGACTTTTTGTAACAGATCCTCAGTTAGATGATGGTTCACATCGATGTCTGCTCATTGACATTTTTCACGCTTTGCTTGCTGTGATGTATCACCGTCTATACTGTATATCCACGGGCATTCAAAGAGAGAGAAAGATGTCAGTCAGAGTATGGGTGGTCAGGTTGAGGAATGTTCTCACAATGATCGAGGATCTTTAGCCTATAAGAGCTCCATTAACAGACCTCACACCAGGGGTTAGAGCTTTTTATGGCCAGGCCATTTGCAGTGATTGACAACTGATCAAATATAACCTTATCGCTGCTGCTGTGGTTGAGCGCGAGGCGAGCGAGTTTATCATTTCAATTTCAGGGACGGCTCCGGCGCGCGTCACAGCTGTCCAATTGCGCGCAGGGACATCTGTAGTGAAGTTGTCCCCATTGTCCTCAGCTTCAGCCAGGTGTGTGTGTGTTTAGCCAGTTTCCACGGAGCTGCTGGAGAGATGGCCCTGCTTGTCAAAGCTGTCTTCACAGTGTGTTATTTCATTGATTGTTCCAATATGACTCAAAGCAGTGTCCCAACAAAGTTTTTATTACTTCCATTATCTTACTTAGTGGCTGTAGCTTTTATAGGCATTAGTCTCTTGTCCATTAGTTTCCCTGTTCCAGAACAGCACCACTCTCTATTGTCAGACAATAGGGCTCCCTAGCTCTGTGTTTGTATGTTTTACCTTTCAACACCATAGTGAAGTGAAATTTAGCATGTAGGTAGTTCAACACAAAGGCTAAACAAAATAATAATGTTAAGTACATAGTCTACATACGTCGGCCGACAGTATGTCACTTGCTCAGACTTGGCCAATACTTGTAGTAAAAACTGACTGCATAGTTGTTCCAATAGGGCCATGCAAGGTGAGGCCCCTGGAGTGTGTGTGCATGCGTGCACAGGTAGAATCACTAGTTTAAGTCTCACTCTGGATTTCGCCCCTTAATCGCTACAGTTTATGTTAAAGTAATATATACAGTATACTGTATGTCATTCATGATCATTTTGATGTGATGAACTCAGTGTGTGTGTTTGTTCCACAGGTTCTGTAGAGATGTTACATCTCAGGCACCTGCTCTGGCTGATGTTTCTTTGTCCTGTTTTTGCTGAAAAAGGTGAATCTTGCTGTGTATGTTTTTGTGTGTGTGTGTGAGAGAGAGAGAGAGAGAGAGAGAGAGAGAGAGAGAGAGAGAGAGAGAGAGAGATAGAGAGAGACACGCAAATGTGACACAGACACGCACAATTTTCCACTGACAAACTGGAAACAAAAAACTGAAAGAGACATTCACGCAGCTCCATTCATCTTTCTCAATCCTGTAGACACGCACACACACAGGGTTGGGTAAGTAACTTTCTAAATGTAATCCATTAGTTACTAGTTAACTGTCCAAAATTGTAATCAGTAATGTAACTTTTGCATTACCCAAACTCAGTAACGTAATCTGATTACTTTCTGATTACTTTCTGATTACTATCCCCTTAAGAGGCATTAGAAGAAGACAAAAAGGATCCATCAAATGCATTTGGTGTGTCATAGTGATCTCTGACTTGTGGTGAGACTTGCTCAGGTGGAACAAACTTAAACTTGTGCCTTTATTCATTGTCATTGAGAAAAGTAATCCAAGAAGTAATCATCTAGTTTTTCAAAAGTATCTGTAATCTAGTGCAGGGAGATTAACCGAAATGTAAGTTTTTTGGGGGGTTATTAAACAACTAATTGACTGACGGTTCAATTACTTGAATTCCATTCAGTTCAAGAGAGATCAAGTCAAGAACTATGTGGGACGCTGGGCTGAAGGGAGTTGTAGTTTTCATTAAGAAAATATTCATCCTAGTTCAGCGCAGAAAAGTGGTAATTAGACTGCATGAGAGAGGAATGTACACAACCCCACAACGAGAGAGACAGAGACAGTTCGTGAAATTATGCCTTATCTACTTTGAAGAACTAGTAAAATGATTTTGTCAGACAGCTCTGCAGCATGCTTAGGCAGGTTAGCTAAACAGTATGACTAAAGACAGTACAGTATGGGTAGCACAGAGATAACGTTATCTGACTAGCTGGCTGCTACTGCCTGAGCAGAGATGAGATGATGACTTTAAGGAATGAAAAATTATAAAGTCATGAAATAAAAACTAAGTAATATACACAACTGAAATATTGTATTATTTCATCATATTTGTTTTATTGATGTCAATCCAATGTGGACCTGACAGAGACAATGGAATATTTTTTATATGTTGGCAATTGAATGTTCACTATTTTTGGCTTTGGAATTTCCATTAAAAGCTCTAAAATCATTTTAAGGTAACTATTTCAGAATATTTTTAATGTTGGAAAAAAACATGACTATTTTTAAATAATCAAACCGAAACTCAACCGACCTCAAAAAGCACTAATCGCTCAGCACTACTGTAATCTGACAGCAATATTTTTTCTGGTAACGTAACTGATGTCAGTTAGTTTTTTGTAATTTACATATAATCAATTACTCTCCAACCCTGCACACACACACACACACATGCTTCCAGTTACTGTACCTACATCTGGGGTTGGATTAATCACACTGTAAGCCATCCGCACCACATACAGCCCTCCACTAAACCCATTCACAAACTAAACCCATGCTCTGTGTATCTGTTTGTTCTGTGTCATTTAGTGACTTGCAGGCGATCTGTCCTGAATTAAACCCATCCACCCTGTGTGCTATCTGCCCTGAGTTAACTTTACATGCTTATTCTGTAGTCATTTGAACTATTAACCCCTGACCTTGACCCTCACTCTATGACCTTTAACCCTGACCCCTAGCCATGACCCCAAATCTCATATACTTGCTCATCAGTTTTGATAATATAGCCATTTTTGTCCTTACTAACATGGCTAGATAGTAACTCCCTCTGTCTCTGTCTTTAGATCCATCATGGAGGATCACGGTAGAGAAAGCTGCCCCCGCTAGTGGCTCTCTGGCTGGCAGGGTGGTGCTACCATGCCACTACTCCATCACCCCCACCTCCTCAAACACCCCCACCACACACACCCCTACACTCACCCACATCCACACCCCTAACACCCAGGGTCCAGAGGACCAGCTGAGGATCAAGTGGAGCAAGCTGGAGGGAGATGGGGAGCATGTGGTGTTGGTGGCCCAGGGAGGAGTGATCAAGGTGGGGCAGGAGTACAAGGGAAGGGTGTCTGTGCCCAGCCACCCCCAGGCAGTAGGGGATGCCTCGCTGATCGTTGTCCGCCTGAGGGCTAGCGACGCTGGGCTGTATCGCTGCGAGGTCATGCATGGGATGGAGGACACCCAGGATACTGTTCATCTCAATGTCAGTGGTGAGTGGACACACACACGGTAGCAGACACACACAGTAGCACACACTCACACTCACACACACATTTCGCCCATTAGAATGTGTAAATAATATAATATATGCCATTTAGCAGACGCTTTTATCCAAAGCGACTTATAGTCATGCGTGCATGCATTTTACTTAGGAGTGGTCCTGGGTGGTCCATGCGCTTTTGTCATTAGTTACAGGAGTTGTTGGGTAATATAAATAATGTGAAACTCTCTAATGCTAACTGTTTCCTGTCATTCCCACTCAGACGTGCTGGTCCATAGGGAGCCTTTAGTTAGTCTGTAAAGGTACCATGGTGTGGTCATGTGTCAGCGTTATTAAGGTGGAATAGTGCAGTTAGCTTTCTTGGACAGCAGAGCTGAGCAGTACGTCAAGTCATCATTACTAGACTGAGGAACTAACTGGCAGACAGTGGTGTTGTAGGAATCCAGGAGAGGGGCTGTCTTGAACATCTTGAGACCTTGTGACTGGCGTTAGTGACTCAGCTTCATCATTACCTTCAGGTCATCATTACCTGCTCAGATGGCAGGAGATTCAGTCTGGGACTGTGATGTGTGAGGCAGAGTACATGGCTGGCTGAAACATTTAGCAGGTTTGCATACGTAGATGGAGAAATATTATTGTGTATTCTGACCTGGCAGTACTGCTGTGTTTCTCTGGTTGTAACACACTACCTCATGCTGGGTCTGATCTGTGCAGACCTACAGGGCTGGTGTAGGTCTTCTGAGGATAAGGTAGAGGTGGTCTGCTCTTTGGTCTCCTCTGCCCAAGGACACTAAGAGAGGGAGAGAGACTGAGACTGAGAGTAATCCTGAGAGATTAACCTAGAAATGTAGCCCTCATCTGACAAAGTCATCAGTAGTCTACAGTAGCTAGTATCACCATGTTTCACAGCACGGCAGTCTAATGACCATTAGCTGTGCCAGAGTAAACTAAACCACAGATTGTCTCCAGGTCTCTCTCTCTCTCTCCGAGTCTCTCTGGGTTGCATGCTGAGGCAAAGCTGGCTCTACACCTGTAGTATTGTTCACTAAACATACAAACCTGAGTTCCAAATCTTCTGCTCTGATGGATTTGTCCTATCAAATCTTTTACAATACATTGTGTTATGTAGCTCATGTTGGGGGTTGGTGGGGGTTACAGTATACTACTGTGTGTGGCATTCAAGCTGGGTATCTTTCAAAAGGAGAGACCCCCTGAATAGCCCAGATTATCCCAGATTCCACATTAGAGATGAACAACAGTCCGTTGATACAGTACAGCCTTTGTGTGTGTAGATACAGCCCGCTCTTCAGTCTCTGTTCACTAGGCAACAGACAGAGACTGCTCTATTAGACTAACAACTGTCCTTTTACTGCATGTCAGTCTATTCAGTCTACTCTATAACTGGAGCCAGTTTCCTAGAGGGAAAAATTATGAACTCTTATGAACTTGGAAAATAGGGGTCTGATTGCACAAGACAAACATTCTCATATAGTTTCAGGATGTCATAGAGCTAAAGTATCATAGCGCTTTCTTTTTATCTGTCTCCCCTGCAGAACGATGGTTGTATTACTTGGTTGTCTCAGTTTCCTTATTTGAATGCACGTTTTGTACAGTAAGTTGATCTGGATAACAGTGGATCCAAAACTACACACACACACACGCACGCACACACACACACACACACACACACACACACACACACACACACACACACACACACACACACACACACACACACACACACACACACACACACACACACACACACACACACACACACACACACACACACACACACACACACACACACACACACACACACACTGACATCCTGTCTCTGTCTCTCCAGGTGTGGTGTTTCACTACAGGTCTAGCTCTAGTCGTTACACCTTGTCCTTCCCTGGGGCCATTGAAGCGTGTTTCGCTGCCGGGGCCACCATCGCTACAGCCGAACAGCTGACCGCCGCCTTCGAGGACGGACTGGACCAGTGTGACGCCGGCTGGATAGCTGACCAGACCGTCAGGTGTGTGTGTGTGTTACTTGAGCTCTCAACTGATAAACCCATCTCAGGGATACCTCCGTCCCTGTCAGAGTTTGTATTGAAGACTACATTTCCCATGCTCCCTCTCTCTTCCTTGTAGATACCCAATCATGAAGCCCCGTCCTGGTTGCATGGGCGATATGAAGCACAGACCTGGGATCAGGACGTATGGGCTCAGAGACCCTAAAGAGACCTACGACGTCTACTGCTATGTAGACAAACTACACGGTGAGGGAGTGTTAGTGTTGTTGTTTCTTGATGGTGAGCTAAAGCAATGTCAGCGTGTGTCTCTTTGGGTAAAGTGTGTGTATATCTCCCCTGTACTGTAGGTGAGGTGTTCTATGCTCCTATCAGCTACAAGCTGACCCTTCGCCAGGCCAAGCATGAGTGTGAGAGGCAGGGGGCGGTGCTCGCCTCCCCTGGTAACCTGTTCGCCGCGTGGCGTGGAGGACTGGATCGCTGTGACTACGGCTGGCTGTCAGACGGCAGTGCCCGCTACCCCATCTCCGTCCCCAGGCCCCAGTGTGGAGGAGGGCTGCTGGGGGTCCGGACCCTGTACCGATTCCCTGACCAGACAGGCTTCCCCAACCCTATTGACAGACATGGAGCTTTCTGTTTCAAGGGTAAGACTACTGTAATACTATTACCACCACTGTTACTGCTGTCGCTGCTGCTAAGACAGTGATGACAATGGCGATTACATTTATGCTGATAAGGATAGGAAGGAAGAGGACGAGGACGAGGATGAGGAGGGAGAAAGTGAAGAGGAGGAGGAGAAGGAGGAGGATAACGAGAAAGAGAGGGAGGAGGAGGAGGAGGAGAAAGAGGAGAGAGGAGACATGCTGTCTTGATGAAAGACAGAGAGAAAACGTGAGAGGGGTAGAGAAGAGTTGATCCTCTATTGTAGTAACAGACAGGCAGACTTGGCAGGGGAGTATCATCAGGGATATTTATGCAGCTTGAGTTTCTCTCAGGCTCAATGAGTTATGACCCGTCCTGTGTGAGGAAGAACTCTCACCCTGTTTTCACTTCCTGCTGAGGGTTATCTAAATGGCCAAGCCTGGGGGGACAGATCACATCTCAGTAGAGAGAGCGAGGAGGGGATGGAGAGAGAGAAAGTGAGGTATGGAGGGAATGAGGGAGGAGGAGAATGAGAATGAGGGAGCGAGACATAGAAGGGGGGAGAGGAGGAGGCCAGTGTTACATGAAAGTCCTTTTACAGTAAAAGACTTAAGACATATGCATGTAACCCACATTTATTCCTACATCTCCCGTTGATATCAATGCATGGTTTATGTAATAGTTCAAGTTACGAGCATGTGTTCTAAGTTAGAATCTGGCCCACAAAGTGTTTAAAGCTTTTAAAAGGACTTTTATTGTGATATCATGTTGGACACGTCTGTTTGCACAGTGAGCGTTTACTTTATATCACATCTGGAAAGACAATGGCCCACTCCCTTCCTCTCCCAGCCTTACAGTGGCTTGCGAAAGTATTCACCCCCCTTGGCATTTTTCCTATTTTGTTGCCTTACAACCTGGAATTAAAATGGTTGGTATCATTTGATTTGCACAACATGTCTACCACTTTGAAGATGCAAAATATTTTTTCTTGTGAAACAAACAAGAAATAAGACAAAAAAACAGAAAACTTGAGCGTGCATAACTCTTCACCCCCCCCAAAGTCAATACTTTGTAGAGCCACCTTTTGCAGCAATTACAGCTGCAAGTCTCTTGGGGTATGTCTCTATAAGCTTGGCACATCTAACCACTGGGATTTTTGCCCATTCTTCAAGCAAAAACTGCTCCAGCTCCTTCAAGTTGGATGGGTTCCGCTGGTGTACAGCAATCTTTAAGTCATACCACAGATTCTCAATTTGATTGAGGTCTGGGCTTTGACTAGGCCATTCCAAGACATTTAAATGTTTCCCCTTAAACCACTCAAGTGTTGCTTTAGCAGTATGCTGGAAGGTGAACCTCCGTCCCAGTCTCAAATCTCTGGAAGACTGAAACAGGTTTCCCTCAAGAATTTCTCTGTATTTAGCGCCATCCATCATTCCTTCAATTCTGACCAGTTTCCCAGTCCCTGCCAATGAAAAACATCCCCACAGCATGATGCTGCCACCACCATGCTTCACTGTGTGGATGGTGTTCTCGGGGTGATGAGAGGTGTTGGGTTTGAGCCAGACATTGAGTTTTCCTTGATGGCCAAAAAGCTCAATTTTTGTCTCATCAAACACCAAACGTGTTTGCTTATTTTTTTCTTTAAGCAATGGCTTTTTTCTGGCCACTCGTCCGTAAAGCCCAGCTCTGTGGAGTGTACGGCTTAAAGTGGTCCTATGGACAGATACACCAATTTCCACTCTGGAGCTTTGCAGCTCCTTCTGGGTTATCTTTGGTCTCTTCGTTGCCTCTCTGATTAATGCCCTCCTTGCCTGGTCTGTGAGTTTTGGTGGTCGACCCTCTCTTGGCAATTTTTTAATAATGGATTTAATGGTGCTCCGTGGGATGTTCAAAGTTCCTGATATTTTTTTAGAACCCAACCCTGATCTGTACTTCTCCACAACTTTGTCCCTGACCTGTTTGGAGAGCTCCTTGGTCTTCATGGTGCTGCTTGCTTGGTGGTTGCCCCTTGCTTAGTGGTGAAAGGCCCCATACTCTGGGGCCTTTCAGAACAGGTGTATATATACTGAGATCATGTGACAGATCATGTGACACTTAGATTGCACACAGGTGGACTTTATTTAACTAATTATGTGACTTCTGAAGGTAATTGGTTGCACCAGATTTTATTTAAGGGCTTCATAGCAAAGGGGGTGAATACATAGGCACGCACCACTTTTCCATTATTTATTTCTTAGAAACCAGTTATTTTTTTCATTTCACTTCACCAATTTGGACTATTTTGTGTATGTCCATTACATGAAATCCAAATAAAAATCCATTTCAATTACAGGTTGTAATGCAACAAAATAGGAAAAACGCCAAGGGGAATGAATACTTTTGCAAGGCACTGTACTGTATTCCCCATACTCCCAGCCTTACTGTATCACCCCATACTCCCAGCCTTACTGTATCACCCTATACTCCCAGCCTTACTGTATCACCCCATACTCCCAGCCTTACTGTATCACCCCATACTCCCAGCCTTACTGTATCACCCCATACTCCCAGCCTTACTGTATCACCCTATACTCCCAGCCTTACTGTATCACCCCATACTCCCAGCCTTACTGTATCACCCCATACTCCCTGCCTTACTGTATCACCTCATACTCCCTGCCTTATGTCTATTGGTCTCTAACCAATATCACATTATTCTCCCTGCATTACTGCACTCTTCCTCTATCTACCTTACTTTGGTCTGCAGTCTCCAACCTCTCCATCCTCTATCAACCTTAATGTGGTCTGCAGTCTGCAACCTCTCCATCCTCTCTCTACCATACTGGAGTCTCCAACCTCTCCATCCTCTCTCTACCTTACTGCAGTCTCCAACCTCTCCATCCTCTCTCTACCTTACTGCAGTCTCCAACCTCTCCATCCTCTCTCCACCTTACTGCAGTCTCCAACCTCTCCATCCTCTCTCTACCTTACTGCAGTCTCCAACCTCTCCATCCTCTCTCTACCATACTGGAGTCTCCAACCTCTCCATCCTCTCTCACCTTACCTGCGTCTCCAACCTCTCCATCCTCTCTCCACCTTACTGCAGTCTCCAACCTCTCCATCCTCTCTCTACCTTACTGCAGTCTCCAACCTCTCCATCCTCTCTCTACCTTACTGCAGTCTCCAACCTCTCCATCCTCTCTACCTTACTGCAGTCTCCAACCTCTCCATCCTCTATCTACCTTATCTGCAGTCTCCAATCTCTCCATCCTCTCTACCTTACTGCAGTCTCCAATCTCTCCATCCTCTCTCTACCTTACTGCAGTCTCCAACCTCTCCATCCTCTATCTACTTTACTGCAGTCTCCAATCTCTCCATCCTCTTTCTACCTTATCTGCAGTGTCCAACCTCTCCATCCACTCTCTACCTTATCTGCAGTCTGTAACCTCTCCATCCTCTCTCTACCTTACTGCAGTCTGCAACCTCTCCATCCTCTCTCTACCTTACTGCAGTCTCCAACCTCTCCATCCTCTCTCTACCTTACTGCAGTCTCCAACCTCTCCATCCTCTCTCTACCTTATCTGCAGTCTGCAACCTCTCCCTCCTCTACTTGCCTTGCTGTTGGCTGCAGTCTCCTACCTCCCATTCTTCTGCCTTACCGCAGTCTCCAAGTCTCCAACCTCCCCTTCCTCTCCCTGCCTCCCTGCCATACTGCAGTCTGCAACCTCCCCTAACGCTTCATCCTATCTCTACCTTACAGTCTCCAACTCCACGGCTGATTTAGCCCAGTGTCTCCAACATGGTTGGTTAAGGCCCATTCTTTAAGGGTCAGGGCTTAAGACTGGATCCTGGCTCGAAACATGGCTCTGATTTGGTGGGTCACTAGAAAACTTTAAAAGCTGTAGGTGGGTCACAGCAGAGACCCAGTTACAGTTAGGAACTCAAGCAGTTTATAGTGTGGTGTTGCAAGGTGGATGGGTTCTGCAGAGAAATAGGGCTCTGTTTAACTCTACCTCTCTCCTGTTCCTCACATTTATGGGGCTGTGTGTTTTATACGAGGGGAAAACCCAACTCATGCTCTCTAAGACAGAAACAGGACAGGTCCCTAATGCACTACAGCTGGCCCCTGCCCAGAGAGAGAGTGTAACAAGAGAGAAAGCGAAAGAGGAGGGAGAGAGAGTCTGAGAAAGAAAGCGAGCAACGCAAGTCTTACTTGCCCAAGAGTATCATTATCATTATCATCATCATCATCATCATCATGATCAGAATAGATTTACACACTTGCAATCCTCTTTTTCCAGAAACCAAATATTATGTTGCAATCTACTGGTTTCTAAAATACCAGAAAATGAAATCCATAACATAATTCACATGTAAATCACCTGAAACAGTAAGGTCTCTGACAGTGTGGTACTGATTTATACAGCTCAGAACGTACAGTATATGTGAGCTGCCTCATGCACAGTGGACGTGACATGGCTATAGGGACAGACTGCAGGCCAGCCAACCAGATGGCCTGGCCCAGCCAAACACATGACATCAGACCTGGGCTGGAGCTGAGCAGGAGCAGGAGCTGGACTGTCCAGGTCCCCTCACAGTGTGAGTGAGCAGGCTAACTAACTCCCCTGAGTGTCTTTGCTCAGAGTCCTGCAAGCTATAAACGCCTCTAACAGTCACAAAGAGAGAGAGAGAGAGGGGGGTGGTGGAGAGGAAGATAAAGCAATGGAGAGAGGGAGTGAACGTGTGAGAAAGAGAGGGAAAGAGAAAAAGGGGGAGAGAAGGGGTAAGGGGGGAGGATCCCAGCTCCTTCATCTATACATGGCCTCAACATTTTGAGAGGAGGTGGAATGTTGAAATGGAATATATACAGTATCAGTCAAAAGTTTGGACACACCTACTTATTCCAGGGATTTTCTTTATTTTTACTATTTTCTACATTGTAGAATAATAGTGAAGACATCAAAGCAATGAAATAACACATATGGAATCAGGTAGTAAACAGAAAAGTGTTAAACAAATCCAAATATATTTATATTTGAAGTTTCTTCAAAGTAGCTACCCTTTGCCTTGATGACAGCTTTGCACACTCTTGGCATTCTCTCAACCAGCTTCATGAGGTAGTCACCTGGGATACATTTCAATTAACAGGTGTGCCTTCTTAAAAGTTCATTTGTGGAATTTATTTCCTTCTTAATGAAGATAGCCCTATTTGGTAAAAGACCAAGTCCATATTATGGCAAGAACAGCTCAAATAAGCAAAGAGAAACAACAGTCCATCATTACTTTAAGACATGAAGGTCAGTCAATACAGAAAATATCAAGAACTTTGAACGTTTCTTCAAGTACAGTCGCAAAAACCATCAAGCGCTATGATGAAACTGGCTCTCATGAGGACCGCCACAGGAAAGGAAGACCCAGAGTTACCTCTGCTGCAGAGGATAAGTTCATCAGAGTTAACTGTACCTCAGATTGCAGCCCAAATAAATGCTTCACCGAGTTCAAGTAACAGACACATCTCAACATCAACTGTTCAGAGGAGACTGTGTGAATCAGGCCTTCATGGTCGGATTGCTGCAAAGAAACCACTACTAAAGGACACCAATAAGGAGAAGAGACTTGCTTGGGCCAAGAAACATGAGCAATGGACATTAGACCGGTGGAAATCTGTCCTTTGGTCTGATGAGTCCAAATTTGAGATTTTTGGTTCCAACCGCCGTGTCTTTGTGAGATGCAGAGTAGGTGAATGGATAATCTCCGCATGTGTGGTTCCCACCGTGAAGCATCGAGGAAGAGGTGTGATGGTGTGGGGGCGCTTTGCTGGTGACAATGTCTGTGATTTATTTAGGCACCCTTAACCAGCATGGCTACCACAGCATTCTGCAGCGATACGCCATCCCATCTGGTTTGCGCTTAGTGGGAATATCATTTGTTTTTCAACAGGACAATGACCCAACACACCTCCAGGCTGTGTAAGGGCTATTTGACCAAGAAGGAGAGTGATGGAATGCTGCATCAGATGACCTGGCCTCCACAATCACCCGACCTCAACCCATTTAGAGATGGTTTGGGATGAGTTGAACTGCAGAGTGAAGGAAAAGCAGCCAACAAGTGCTCAGCATATGTAGAACTCCTTCAAGACTGTTGGAAAATCATTCCAGTTGAAGCTGGTTGAGAGAATACCAAGAGTGTGCAAAGCTGTCATCAAGGCAAATGGTGGCTACTTTGAAGGATCTCAAATGTAAAATATATTTTGTTTTATACTTTTTTAGTTACTACATGATTCCATTTGTGTTATTTCATAGTTTGGATGTATTCACTATTATTCTACAATGTAGAAATTGTACTGTACATTAAACTTAATTATGTCATTACCGTGTGTCAGTAAGGTTAACGTACGTCAGCTGCCCATGAGACAAGCTAGCACGTTATAAAATACCTGTGTGTGTCTGCTTTTGTTTGTGTGTGTGTGTGTGTGTGTGTGCTTGTGTTTGTGTGTGTGTGTGTGTGTATGTAAGGCCTTGCCTTCCATTTTCCTCTTATGGTAAAGATTTACTGGAGATCCACAGATGTTGTTTGATGCCAAACTCATATTTCTCTGTGGTTTACACAGACAGCCTGTGGGTGGATTATATGGGCAGACAATGTAAAGACTTTGGGTTAGGGTTATAGGCTATTGTATACAGGAAGAAAAGAGAGAGGGCTAACATGTTGGCTCAAGATGTGCTCCAGTGTTGAAACATAGCAGGTTATGTGAAGCCAAATGGGTGTGTGTGTGTGTTTCCGCGCGCATGGAGGTTGGAGGTTTACTGTTGTCCTAAAACAACCAGTTTTAACACAGTTCAGACACCATGCTGTCTAAAAATACAGACCTCCTGGCAGTTATACAGAGGGGGTTATTATCCTGACAGACTGACACCACTGGCACTGACGCTTTCCCTGGTTTATTCTTGACGGCTGACGTCTCTCTTTAAAAATCTAACTCTCTGGGTTGGATTTCCATTTACAGCCTGTTGCTGTGAGCTGACACCGTTCTGATTCTGACAAAATCATGTTTAGCATTCTCTGTTAAAGTTGTGATTCTTGTTAGTTTTTTATTTACTAAGGCACAGCATCGAACATCTGACCCCCATCTGACCCCCATCTGACCCCCATGGTTCATCTGGAACATCTGACCCCCCCCCCTCTTTCTCTCTATACCTTTGAGTACATTACTGTACTTTGACTGTTATCTCAGGTGGGGGTATATGTTCCTGTTAAAAGTGTTGTGACCAGAGCTAAACATCTCACATCTCTCTGTCTCTGCAGGTAAGGAACCAGAGATCACCACTCCTGGACCTGTGACGACCACAGACGCTCGCAGGACAGACACAGTTACAGAGAAACCTCATGCTACCAACCACACAGGCAGACCAAACCTTACAGACCCAACTCACACAGCCAGAACTGACCACACAGTTACAGACAGAGCTCACACAGTTACAGAGAAACCTCATGCTACCAACCACACAGGCAGACCAAACCTTACAGACCCAACTCACACAGCCAGAACTGACCACACAGTTACAGACAGAGCTCACACAGTTACAGAGAAACCTCATGCTACCAACCACACAGGCAGACCAAACCTTACAGACCCAACTCACACTGCCAGAACTGACCACACAGTTACAGACAGAGCTCACACAGTTACAGAGAAACCTCATGCTACCAACCACACAGGCAGACCAAACCTTACAGACCCAACTCACACTGCCAGAACTGACCACACAGTTACAGACAGAGCTCACACAGTTACAGAGAAACCTCACCACACAGAAAGACCACACCAAACTACTGCAGACCAAGACAGAAGTCAGGCTACAGGTGGACCACATGATACAGCTTATACAGGCACAGACAGACATCACACAGTTACAGACAGAACACACACCACCAAACACAAACATCACACCACTGACCACAAGACAACAGACAAAGAAAAAACTACAGGAGACAGAACTGCAGACAGAAAGACCGACTCCTCTGTTGGTACCACTCTGTTCCCTGAGTATGACGTGGATGACTTTGGCCCAGACCTAACCAAGGTAGAGTCAGTCCCAAGCAGGGGTGATACCCTGTTCCCCCTGCAGCTGCCACCACTCCCCACCACCCGCTTCCAGCCCACCCACCCCCACCTCGACATCAACCAGGGGGGAGACCAGGTGGGAGAGGGAGAGACTCAGACAGGCTCAGGCAGAGGGGAGAGCAGTGGGAGTGGGGAGGGGAGCAGTAGTGATGGGGCAAGTGAGGAGAAGGACAGGGTAGTAGTGACTCCTACACAGGGCTTCATGGCCGGGACAGGGATGGGATCAGACCCCTCACGTCCAGGACAACCAAGTTACCCAGGACGTCCAGGGTCGGTCACCCCAGAGCAGGGCCAACCAGGCGGGGACAGAGTGACAGGACAAAAGCCTGCTGTGGTCTACAAGGAGGACGAGGGCCAGAGCTCTAGAACAACAACCCACAGCATACCAGAAGCCACGGAATCATACAGCGTGGACCAATCGGTGGGCAGCCCTCATGAGGCGTCTCCCACCAAACCACCCTTCCACCTCATCATTGTCAACGTGCATGACAAGAACCAATCAGGTGAGAGTTTACTGTTGACTCTAGTGACAAGGTGTGGAGATAAACCTAATGTTGTTTAATGTAATTCACAACTAGCCTAACTCTTATCTCAGGACTGCTATCTCAGTATGTATGTGGACGTACTGTAACACCTCTGTTTAAAGGGATTTTCCTCATGATTGTATCACCAAACTATGCAGTCTCAGCCCTCTTGTTGTGAAATGACTATAATAACTTCTGTTGTGTACTCTAACATTCTGAGTCTCTGTGGGTGACTGTGTGCTGATTGACTCTGTACTCTGTACCCACAGTGGCCTGCTTCTATTGATGCTATGTAGGCAGACAGACTGGTCAGAGAGAGAGACAGATAGAGAGACAGAGAGAGAGACAGAGAGAGAGAGAGAGAGAGAGAGAGAGAGAGAGAGAGAGAGAGAGAGAGAGAGAGAGAGAGAGAGAGAAGAGAGAGAGACGAGGACAAGAGACAAAGAGCAGAGAGATAGAACACACACACCAGCCGAATAGAGATAACATCAATTCTCTCTCTCCTATCCACTATCTCATCTATGCTACGTATCTCTCTCTCTAAATCGCTCGCCCTCTCTCCTCCATCCAGATATACCTACTCAAGCCCTATATCTCATCCCTCATCTCTCGTACTAGACTAGAGAGATATGACCTCTACGATATCCTCTCAGAGAATAAGAGATATTGCATGGAAAGAGAGTATACAGGACACACTGTTAAAGAGTGTGTGTGGCATGGACAGGAAGGACACAGTGACCACTCTTAAACCAGGCTACTGCTGGACAACTGTGACCTAAACTGACCTCATACATCTCCATAATATATTAGTATCTCCAGATTTCCACCCAAGACACATTTACGAGGGGTCTCTGAGATCTGTCATGTCAGTAAGCCTTGGCTGCTGTTGGAGTTCAGGATCTGTGGGAGCTTTTTCAGATTCAGGGCTGACCTCATTTAGCTGTGTGCGTGCGTGCCTGCTTGCAGTGATGCCTTGAGGAAATGTGGGGCTTGACGAGGATGAGCTCTGGATGCTTTCTAGCTGTTTGTTGTCTTGTTTTAATAGAGAAGTTGTATCATTATCACCCCTGTCCATTTACAAGCAAGCTGGCAGCACCAGTTTACATGCAAACACATCTGCAGATTCTGCACAAACAGATGTGGACAAACATTAAGAAATGTTTTGGTCTTTATCTTAGTCGTCCAGGAACTTCTCAGAAAGAAAGAGAGAGAGAAAAAGAGAAAGACACTCTCAGACACACACACTCACACACACACACACTCACACATACACACACTCACTCACACACACACACACTCACATTGTTGCACACACTCACACACACACACTCACACACACACACACACACACGCACACACTCACACACACACACACTCACACACGTACACACACTCACACACACACACACACACACTCACACTCTCACACACACACACACACACACACACATACTCACACACACACACACGCACGCACGCGCACACACACACACTCACGCACACACACACACTCACACACAAACACACAAACACTCACACACACTCACACACACAAACACTCACACACTCACACACTCACACAAACACTCACACACTCACACACTCACACATACACACACACACACACACACACACATACTGCAAGTAGGCCTAAGCATTTCGTTGGCCGGTGTATACCACGTGCATACGACTAATAAAACTTGAAACTTAAACTTGAAACACACACACACGACCCTGAGGTCTTTTGAATCAATCAGCGATGTAATCATGGTCAACTAATTACTCCCTTCATCCCCCTTTCCCCTGTGATGTGTGAATCCACCCCGCTCCCCTACCCCCATCCAAGCCATAACATTTATGAATGGCTATTGTTCATAATTAAAGGGGCATATTGTATATTGGATCCAGTAAGTTAGATACAGTTCACCCATACTCATAAGACTCAGGTTCCTAAGTGGTTATACACCAATTTTACACTACAATAAAAGCAATATTCAGTTATGTCTAACTCCTGGTCAACATCAGGTAACAAGGCACCTCCAGTTATATTGTGTACATATTTACACATCTTTTTTACAATCACTTTGGCACTAATTTCAGAACCTTGACGTCATTTTTCAAAACTCTAGACACAAAACTCAAAACGGTCATCACTTGTAACACAGGCTGTCCAATGTTCAAAACATTGCATTGTGCATTCATATCTTTAAAGAAATCTTGCACTTGCACAATCATTGGTTCAAAAAACAAATGTATTGTGAAATACCAATGAAACGTTAATTTAGATCACCCACACACAAGCAACCGATAGTTTCACTGTGTCATTGTTCGTACGATCATTAAATATTGTAGTACAAAATAGGTGATACATGTTTCATTATGGTACTACATGTAAATACATCCCTGTAAAAGTACTGCAGTAGTAGAGAGAATACTACAGACACAGTGGAATCATTGAACAAAATCTGAAATATATTGATGAAAAACAATACAGTACTGTAAAACATCAAATGCAGTGTTCCTCAACTTGCTTGCTTGTACTGTAAAAAGCAAAACATAGGAGTGATTACTGTACTTCTACATTTTCATCAACTCTGTCTTGTGGTTTTGGCCACAGGTTCTCATCTACATCACAATGGATGTTTTCATTAGCCAAACATCTTGGAAAAAACCTTTGGCCATGGCGAATCCAGGCCTGACACTGGTCTGCCGTGATGTCATTGCATGCGTCATCCATGGCCTGGAGAAGAGTGACTTATTCATGAGGGCGCCTATCATAAACCTTCCATCTCCATGTGGAGAAAAATTCCTCAATCGGGTTAAGGAAAGGAGAGTATGGGGGTAAATACAGGGTGGTAAATTGTGCATGGGCCTGAAACCATGCTTGCACCATATGAGCATGGTGGAACCTGACATTATCCCACACAATGACATAGGTCACGCCACCAGCTCTACAGGCCTGATCGAGCTCATCAAGGAAGGTTACAAGGGGACCATAGAAACGGTGTCTGATAAAGAATGATGATGAAATATTACATCCATAGATAATGTAGTCTAATTGGTTCATGCTCCATGCTAATTGGTGACAATGAATCTCGTTACTTTGAAACTTTCATGATCTAAACATGGAATATTGTTTGTCTGTTTCCATACAACTATGCATTAAGAGCAATGCAACAGTTACTTATCATTTTGAGCAGTTGTATCAATTGATAGTTGGATAATTGTAATGAAATGAATAGACACTCATCTGAAATGTAATGTGTGAATTGCCTTTTGAAATAGTAGTACTTTGATGTTAAGTTGTGTCATATTGAACAGGTGACTTTTGTTAAATGAACAAATGATCTTAGTTTTATGTGTATTGTATCCAAGCAATTGAAAAAAGTGTTAGAGTTTTGAAAAATGTGCATTTTGATCATTGGTTGTGAGTTTTGTGTCTAGAGTTTTGAAAAATGACGTCAAGGTTCTGAAATTAGTGCCAAAGTGATTGTAAAAAACTGTAAGTCATGTATTAGACGCTCTTATCCAGAGGGACTTACAGGAGCAATTAGGGTTAAGTGACTTGCTCAAGGGCACGTCAACAGATTTTTCATCTAGTCGGCTCAGGGATTCGAACCAGCAACCTTTCGTTTTCTGGCCCAACGCTCTTAACCGCTAGGCTACCTACGCACACACATATGCGCGTGCACGCACGCAGGCACACACACACACACACACACACACACACACACACACACACACACACACACACACACACACACACACACACACACACACACACACACACACACACACACACACACACACACACACACACACACACACACACACACACACACACACACACACAGAGAGAGAGAGACAGACAGACAGAGACACACACACATTCAACTGTAGATTAAAATGATTTATTTATACCATCCCGTCACAGTTTTTATTTGTCCCCAGAGATATAACTAACCTCAGGTTTAGTGCTGACCATCCGATTGTGCTTCCCCCTTGCACCCGTTCCCACGATATAGGTTCCATGTGTACCATAAAGACCTAATGAAGACACACAAACCTGCCTTGTTCCAGTAACACGTCTGGCTCGGATCGACCCAGTCATAGCCAACACACAGCAGACACTATTCACTCTTTGTGGATAATATTGCAATGCTGAAACAATTATACAGTGGGGAAAAAAAGTATTTAGTCAGCCACCAATTGTGCAAGTTCTCCCACTTAAAAAGATGAGAGAGGCCTGTAATTTTCATCATAGGTACACGTCAACTATGACAGACAAATTGAGATATTTTTTCTCCAGAAAATCACATTGTAGGATTTTTAATGAATTTATTTGCAAATTATGGTGGAAAATAAGTATTTGGTCACCTACAAACAAGCAAGATTTCTGGCTTTCACAGACCTGTAACTTCTTCTTTAAGAGGCTCCTCTGTCCTCCACTCGTTACCTGTATTAATGGCACCTGTTTGAACTTGTTATCAGTATAAAAGACACCTGTCCACAACCTCAAACAGTCACACTCCAAACTCCACTATGGCCAAGACCAAAGAGCTGTCAAAGGACACCAGAAACAAAATTGTAGACCTGCACCAGGCTGGGAAGACTGAATCTGCAATAGGTAAGCAGCTTGGTTTGAAGAAATCAACTGTGGGAGCAATTATTAGGAAATGGAAGACATACAAGACAACTGATAATCTCCCTCGATCTGGGGCTCCACGCAAGATCTCACCCCGTGGGGTCAAAATGATCACAAGAACGGTGAGCAAAAATCCCAGAACCACACGGGAGGACCTACTGAATGACCTGCAGAAAGCTGGGACCAAAGTAACAAAGCCTACCATCAGTAACACACTACGCCGCCAGGGACTCAAATCCTGCAGTGCCAGACGTGTCCCCCTGCTTAAGCCAGTACATGTCCAGGCCCGTCTGAAGTTTGCTAGAGTGCATTTGGATGATCCAGAAGAGGATTGGGAGAATGTCATATGGTCAGATGAAACCAAAATATAACTTTTTGGTAAAAACTCAACTCGTCGTGTTTGGAGGACAAAGAATGCTGAGTTGCATCCAAAGAACACCATACCTACTGTGAAGCATGGGGGTGGAAACATCATGCTTTGGGGCTGTTTTTCTGCAAAGGGACCAGGACGACTGATCCGTGTAAAGGAAAGAATGAATGGGGCCATGTATCGTGAGATTTTGAGTGAAAACCTCCTTCCATCAGCAAGGGCATTGAAGATGAAACGTGGCTGGGTCTTTCAGCATGACAATGATCCCAAACACACCGCCCGGGCAACGAAGGAGTGGCTTCGTAAGAAGCATTTCAAGGTCCTGGAGTGGCCTAGCCAGTCTCCAGATCTCAACCCCATAGAACATCTTTGGAGGGAGTTGAAAGTCTGTGTTGCCCAGCGACAGCCCCAAAACATCACTGCTCTAGAGGAGATCTGCATGGAGGAATGGGCCAAAATACCAGCAACAGTGTGTGAAAACCTTGTGAAGACTTACAGAAAACGTTTGACCTGTGTCATTGCCAACAAAGGGTATATAACAAAGTATTGAGAAACTTTTGTTATTGACCAAATACTTATTTTACACCATAATTTGCAAATAAATTCATTAAAAATCCTACAATGTGATTTTCTGGATTTTTTTTCTCATTTTGTCTGTCATAGTTGACGTGTACCTATGATGAAAATTACAGGCCTCTCTCATCTTTTTAAGTGGGAGAACTTGCACAATTGGTGGCTGACTAAATACTTTTTTTCCCCACTGTAATTTATCAGCAATGTGCATGAGGGATTCCCCATGGTGTGTTTCTGGTAGACCTTAATCTGCAGGATCTGCAGGTCCTGATGCACACACACACACACACACACACACACACACACACTCACACACACACACCCTTATTTGGATCCACAAATGTACATTTCAAGAGGGATCCAAACCTCTCAATGGTCACTGTATACATGGACACTCAAGGATAAAGAAACCACCTTCTTCTCCAAACAGCTGAAACAGGCCAGTACCTAGCCAACTGCTTTGCTATGGTCTTTAGCAGGGCCGTAACATGGAGGCTATATACTGCAAGCCTATGAAAGTGTCTGAGACTGACAAATATAAGTATCACCAGCTTGCACCTACAGTATTCCCGAGGCTGTCCAAGCGTGCTACCGAGGGGCTGGTATTTTATATAGCAGTCAAATGAGCAGCCCACTTCCAGAATCCCACTTCCCACTTCCCTGACCTCTCCCTGTGTTGCTCCTGTGTTTCCAGTGGACCACATCCTGCAGATCCTTGGCCAGCCTCTAGGGGGTAATGGAGATTCCCACTCCGCTCTCATCCCAGCCTTCCCATTCATCCAGACTGAGGCCATTCAGGGCAACGAGGACTCTGACAGCATCCATCCCATCACTCTCCCCCCAACACTAAGCTTCATCAACGGGAAACACCAGGTCAGATTTACTGTGGTTGTCTGGATTTGTGAGATATGTTCAGCCTCTTTTTCAAGGACAATTGAAGTAGAAAAGCATCATCGGGATGTGTTGCATAAAGTGACACAACAGGAAAATTAATATTCATTAATTCATTTATTCATTTAGGTGACTCTGGAGCCAGAGCTGCCAGGGAAGGAGCAGGAGGCGAGAGGAGACCAGTTTGAGACAGCCACACCAGTCCACAGTGAACTGGGAGAAGAGATGGATCATGAAGAGGAGGAGAAGAGCCTCACTCCCTTTGACTATGGAGCTATTCATACTGGAGAGACCAGAGAGTCCACTACTACAGACACAGACACAGACAGATACACAACTACAGACACAGACAGAGACACAGACAGAGACACAGACAGAGACACAACTTCAGACAGAGTCACGGACAGAGACACAACTTCAGACATAGTCACGGACAGAGACACAACTTCAGACAGAGACACAGACGGAGACACAACTTCAGACAGAGACACGGACAGAGACACAACTTCAGACAGAGTCACGGACAGAGACACAACTTCAGACAGAGACACAGACAGATATAGGGACAGAGAGAGGACACAGACAGAAGGAAAGACAGAGAGCTCCAAAGAAACAACCCCTTCTTCCCGACACACTTCCCCAGTCTCTTCCCCAGTCTCTTCTCCAGTCTCTTCCACAGTCTCAGCCTCATCCTCTGGTTCCCCCCATACTTCCCCAGATGGCATCTCCCCATATGAGGACATGGAGGGGTCAGGCGGCCGTACCCAGGAGAGCTCAGCAGACGATACCCGGCCCACCCCAGCCGTAGATAGCCAATCAGATGTGGTCACGGACGAGACAGAGATTGGAGGGGCGGAGAGCGTCACACACACTCCATCTCACACACGCTACACTTACACCAAGGACACACACACTCCCTCACAGACCGAGGCGAGAGACTTTGAGGGGTCTACATCAACAGAAGAGGAAGGCTCAGCACAGGAGGTGTACCCACCTGAAGACCCCAGATACACTAGCCCTGGCAGCCCTGGAGCCATTGAGGCTCCCCTGGTGGGGCCTGGGGTGAAGGGACAGGTGACTGTTACACCCGAACCAGGTGCCAGACCAGGAGCCAGACCAGCCCAGGGAGGAGTGACTGTAGGAGACCGCACTGCACATCACACAGACTCTTCTACACAGCACAGAGACTACCCCCTCCAGCCTACCACGCAGGATAAAGATCTCTTTCACTCATACTAAGGATCAGACCAGATACCCACCTACACATGGGAAGGACCAAACCACTCAGCACACCACACACGATAGAGATCACTCCACACACACTAAAGAGCAAACCAAACAACCCTCTCACCCTAGATTCCCCACCACCCACCACCAGGAGCAAACCAGCCACTCTACCACAGATCAGAAGACCACACAGCACCTGAACCAAACACACACACCCCCTGCACACCCCTCCACTCCACCTCCCGCCCGCCCCTCCACTCCACCTCCCGCCCGCCCCTCCACTCCACCTCCCGCCCGCACCTCCACTCCACCTCCCGCCCGCCCCTCCACTCCACCTCCCGCCCATCTCTCCACTCCACCTCCCGCCCGCCCCTCCACTCCACCTCCCGCCCCGCCCCTCCACTCCACCTCCCGCCCATCTCTCCACTCCACCTCCCGCCCGCCCCTCCACTCCACCTCCCACCCGCCCCTCCACTCCACCTCCCGCCCATCTCTCCACTCCACCTCCCGCCCCGCCCCTCCACTCCACCTCCCGCCCGCCCCTCCACTCCACCTCCCGCCCATCTCTCCACTCCACCTCCCGCCCGCCCCTCCACTCCACCTCCCGCCCATCCCTCCACTCCACCTCCTGCCCGCCCCTCCACTCCACCTCCCACCCGCCCCTCCACTCCACCTCCCGCCCGCCCCTCCACTCCACCTCCCGCCCATCCCTCCACTCCACCTCCTGCCCGCCTCTCCCGCCCCATCCCTGACTGGACCCTGACCCCCCAGACCCTCCTGCCTGACGGGGAGGAGTTTGTGGATAATGACCGTGTGATTGGTTCTCCTCTGCTGGAGGCCAGCCCCCCTGTTCCTGAGGAACCCCAGTCCACCTATCAGCCTGAAACAAGAACTGACTACTACATCGAGGCCCAGACCGTCGATGTCAGACGTAGGTGTAAATCTCAGAGCCTATTCAATGTGTTTAATGATGGGTGTATGATGTCATCATGGCCATTGGTTGTTGTTGAATGTTGATGATGATAATAATGTTCTTGATGATAATAATAATGTTATTGATGATGATAATAATGTTCTTGATGATGATAATAATGTTATTGATGATGATAATAATGTCCTTGATGATGATGATAATAATGTTATTGATGATGATAATAATGTTCTTGATGATAATAATAATATATAATGTTGTTGATGATGATAATAATGTTCTTGATGATAATAATAATGTTCTTGATGATGATAATAATGTTATTGATGATGATAATAATGTTCTTGATGATAATAATAATGTTCTTGATGATGATAATAATGTTCTTGATGATGATAATAATGTTCTTGATGATGATAATAGTGTTATTGATGATGATAATAGTGTTATTGATGATGATGATGCTGATAATGCTGATAATGATGACAATGACAGCGATGATGTTAACTTTGCGATGATGCTAATGATAACTGCTGTGATGATGAGGATGATAATGATGATGATATGTGTGTGTCTGTCTCAGCTCTGCAGCAGTGCACTGTGAATGTGTGTCTGAACGAAGCATCTTGCTACCAGAGAGGCAACGCCAGCATCTGTGCGTGTGCACATGGATACACCGGACAGCGCTGCGAGACAGGTACACACATACGCACACACACACACACACACACACACACACATACACACACACACACACACACACACACACACACACACACACACACACACACACACACACACACACACACACACACACACACACACACACATACACACACACACAGTTATATTATATTCTGTGTCATTTGTGTAGATGTTGACGAGTGCCAGTCCAACCCATGTCGTAATGGAGCCACCTGTATGGACGGAGTCAACTCCTTCAGCTGTGTGTGTCTGCCCAGCTATGCAGGACAGCTCTGTGAACAAGGTAACACACACACCAGTGCAGCTGCTTTGATCAAAGCTTTTACAGAAAAGAGACAGCCTTTCAAGCCAACCAACAAAAGTGGTAAATTATTCTAGTGGAACTGCCAGCTCTTGGTCGTATTTAGTCAGTAGACAGACTCCATTCTCTGGATCAGGCTGAGAAAACCATTGTCCAAGGTTGACTATGGCTGTGTATAGGGCTGCATCACACACACAGACACATACGCATTCACACACACACACACACACACACACACACACACACACACCCACACCCACACACACACACACACAGTGAGTCATGTCTCTGCTCCCTGGATATCCCCTAACGCTGGGCGTTGGCTGCACACTAGATTAGTTCCAGCTCCATCCCCAATACTGCTGCTTTTACTCAGCAATAATACTGTACTGCATGCTCACGTACATACACCCAATAACATCTTCATTCACCCTCTTACTGTATCTGTAACAGTGCATACAGAAATATATTGCTAAACAAACAAACACACTGACAGCCACACCTGGAGAACCACAGCTGTGTTCTGCTGCTAGTGGGCCAGAGGAGAGAGAGAAAGGAGAGAATTAGTCCATTATTTTATTAGAAAGATGTTGCAGCTGTGGTGAACTGGATCAATGCAGGCTGTACTAACCACTGGCATTGACCAAACCAACTCTTTATCCAGTACAGAGCTGCTCGTTGACATTGTGTGTGTGTGTTAGTGTGTGTGTGTGTGTGTGTGTGTGTGTGAGCATGTGCGTGTGTGTGTAAGTATGTGCATGCGTGTGTAGCCAGGGACGGGGGTATGATAAGTTAATAAAGGTGATCTGAAGTTTGCTGATGATAGACGTACCCTGAGGCCTTGATTAAATGTAATATTATTGTCAATTGCACTCCAGGTCCAGCCGAAACTTGACTTCCGCTTTTAACCCAACCCCTCTGAATCGGAGAGGTGCACGGGGCTGCCACATTGGGCGCCCGGGGAGCTGTTGTTGTGGGGGCGTTGCTCAGAGGCAGAACGACAGATTTTTCACCTTGTCGGCTCAGGGATTCAAGCGGTCAACCTCTGGGTTACTGGCCAGCACTCTAACTGCTAGGCCACCTGCCACCCCGTAACCCCCTATCTAACACACACCACATGCTCTCTCAGTCTACCAGTCTTGCTTTAACCCTTTATAATGTTTGTATGTTTCTCTAGACATTATAATTGATGACATCACAAAGACCTGCCTATTCAGCCCGTATGATATGAATAACACTGGCCATTCCCTAGCAACGAACTTAGCAACAAGACTTGCGGGAAAAAAGCAAAACAGACCCGAGAAGTTAACAGTGGTTTTTGCAGATTGGCATTCGCTGTATCAAGTGTCTCATCATTAAATTATGTCAACACATGATGTGTTGCTTTTCATAACATATTGAACCCATTCAACATTCTACAGTAGAACACTCAGAATAAACTTCTAGAAGAATGAAACTACTCTAAGCAACTATTCAGAATTGTAATTCTATTAGAACAGCTCACCAGAGAATCATGTGTGTGAATAGTCATCTCATCCAAGCCAGCAGCATGCCAGATCATGGTGTTCTGACATAGCATTGTGGACCCACTAACATACACTTCATGACCAAATCTAGCAAAGTCCAAAATTAACAAAGAGGGTTCACTATGGAGCTACAGTCCCTTAGTGCAGTAGCATGCTCTTCTATACTCGACTTACACAGGCGGATCAATGTGTGTGAATGCATGAGAGCGAGCAATCTTGTGTGTGTGTGTGTGTGTGTTTGGCCTAGAGAACAGGGGAACTTGTGAGGGTTTCCAAAGAGGATAATGAGCACCAACTGTGAGTCTGTGAGCTCATTCAGTCAGGGACCTTTCTAAACCAGCTGGAGCTCTTTCTCTTTTATAGTCCACCCTTCGTTTTAGTTTCTCTCTCTTTAACTCTCTCACTCTGTTTCTATGTCTCTGTTTCTCTCTCTTCTCCCCTAATTTTGTGCAATTTGTTTAATCTCTGTGGATATTGTTAGCCATTGATTCCTCTGATAGTCAATGATTCCTCTCTCTGCCTCTCTCTCCCCCCAGACACAGAGGTGTGTGAGTATGGCTGGCAGAAGTTCGAGAGCCATTGTTATAAGTACATCACCCACCGTCGGACCTGGGACGCCGCCGAGAGAGAGTGTCGTGTCCAAGGAGCCCACCTAGCCAGTGTCCTGTCACAGGAGGAGCAGCTGTATGTCAACCGTAAGTCCCGCCTCCCTTAGGTTGTCATTGGTCACAGGTAACAGGTCCAGGTTAGGGTGAGAGGTCAGAGGGTAGAGAGTATGGGGCATAGAGATATTGTGTGTCATATGTAGCACTCAAGTCTCCATAATGAAACTGTTTTGATGAGTCTGCACAACAAACTGTAAAAGACTGATGTCTGTGCAACATGCAGCTCAGGTTGTGGTAACAACATGACAACATGACCCAGTTTGGCTGACTAGTTTATTGGGGACAGTTCACAGTAGGGGGGACTCACGCCATACCCTAGGGCTGCTTACCTACTGCACAGTAAGTACCCCCTCTGCTCTGGTCTGTATCATTCATGCACACACTGCAAACTACCCACTGGGCACAGACGTCAGTTCAACGTCTAGTTATGATTTACATTTTGTTGAGTTGTCAACTAACGTGAATTCAGTGTAAAATCAACACATTTCACCATGTCATTGAATTTAAAAGTTCCACATTGACGTGGAAACAACGTTGATTCAACCAGAAAGGGGGAAAGAGGGAGTGATTTGCAGTGTTTTGGGGCTTACAAAGCAGGATTTGGGAACAAGGAAGCTGGTGATTCACACATCTTAAAATGTCTTTGTGATTTCCTGTTGGAGAGCTAGACAGAAGCAGGCCTAACTGTTGTTTCTCACCCCCAGGCCTGGGCCATGACTACCAGTGGATCGGTCTGAACGACAAGATGTATGAGAGAGACTTCCGCTGGACAGACGGCAGCATCATGGTAAGACAGGAGAAAATCCCCCTGATTAGATACACTACATGGTCCAAAGTATGTGGACACACCCTTCAAATAATGGATTTGGCTATTTCAGCCACACATGTTGCTGACAAGTGTATAACATCGAGCACACAGCCATGCAATCTCCATAGATAAACATTGGCAGTAGAATATCCCGTACTGAAGAGTGACTTTCAGCGTGGCACCGTCATAGGATGCCACCTTTCCAACAAGTCAGTTCGTCAAATTTCTGCCCTGCTAGAGCTGCCCCGGTGAACTGTAAGTGCTGTGAAGTGGAAACGTCTAGGAGCAATAACGGCTCAGCCGCGAAGTGGTTGGCCACACAAGCTCAAAATCGTCTGTCCTCGGTTGCAACACCCACTACCGAGTTCCAAACTGCCTCTGGAAGTAACGTCAGCACAATAACTGCTCTTCAGGAGCTTCATGAAATGGGTTGCCATGGTCGAGCAGCCACACACAAGCCTAAGATCACCATGCGCAATGCTATGCGTCGGCTGGAGAGGTGTAAAGGTCGCCGCCATTGGACTCTGGAGCAGTGGAAACATGTTCTCTGGATTGATGAATCACGCTTCACCATCTGGCATTCCAATAGACTAATCTGGGTTTGGCGGATGCCAGGAGAACGCTACCTGCCCCAATGCATAGTGCCAACTGTAAAGTTTGGTGTAGGGGGAATAATGGTCTGGGGCTGTTTTTCATGGTTCGGGCTAGGCCCCTTAGTTCCAGTGAAGGGTGATCTTAATGCTACAGCATACAATGACATTCTTCCAACTTTGTAGCAACAGTTTGTGGAAGAACTTGACTTTCCTGCACAGAGCCCTGACCTCAACCCTATTGAACACCTTTGGGATGAATTGGAGCACCGACTGCCTAATCGCCCAACATCAGTGCGCGACGTCATTAATGCTCTTGTGGCTGAATGGAAGCAAGTCCCTGCAGCAATGTTCCAACATCTAGTGGAAAGCCTTCCCAGAAGAGTGGAGGCTGTTGTTATAGCAGCAAAGGGGGGACCAACTCCATATTAATGCCCATGATTTTGGAATGAGATGTTCGTTTGGCCACATAGTGTATGATATGATGTGATATGGGTGTTACAGATGGTCTTATCACACACTCTCACACACACACACACACACACAAACTGCGCAGCTCCAGAGAATGTCCAGCTGTTTTCTCTGTATGAAGTGTGAGCTGAGACATGGAGTAAGGACAGTGTGTGTGTGTGTGTGTGTGTGTGTGTGTGTGTGTGTGTGTGTGTGTGTGTGTGTGTGTGTGTGTGTGTGTGTGTGTGTGTGTGTGTGTGTGTGTGTGTGTGTGTGTGTGTGTGTGTGTGTGTTGCTGTGCGCGCACAGCCACAAGAGAGAGACACAGATGATACTGTTGAAACAATGTTTTTTTTAAACAGAGTTATCGCTCAGTACTGCAAGACACACCCTTGTTCAGTTCTAAGTGTACGTGTGTGTTTGGGTGTGTGTTTGAGTTAACACGCGTTAATGCATAGCTGTAGCCGTTTGGACCAGGGACGCTGCAACAAAAATATCCTAAAGAAGAGAAGGGGGAGGCGGGGAAAGTTGGGGAGAATTCCCCCTGTCCCCATGCCAGAGGGTGGTGGGGGGTGGTCGGGGTTAGCTAAACATCTGGTTCAGTTTCACAGTAGAGATTATGGGTCTGGCTCACTGAGATGGAGCAATAGCACCCCAGTATGCCCTCTCTGTGTATTACAGCCACAGACTAACCACCTCTGTCACGGTAGGAGTCTCCACTGGGTTCTTTCCTCTAGAGGCGGTTTAATTAGTAAATCTTCTGACAGGTCACAGAATAGCAGGGTTAACAAAGGAACCTTGTGTAATAAACCAATAGGCTTGTTAAAAGGTATTGTCATCTGGTCCCTATAGTAGCTAGAGATGAATGAGATTGGTAAAGAAGTTACAATGAGATTCCTCCCCTGTGTTATACGGTGACTACCTTATAGGTGAGGTGTATTGTGAATGATGATCTTATACAATAAGGGCTGTGTGAGCTATCAGAGTAACTGTGGTGATGTTTAGCTGTTAGTGAATGTGGGTGCAGTAAAAAGGTCTAAACTTTGGTGATGATGAGAGTGTGTAATTGTTTGTTTGCAGCAATATGAGCACTGGCGTCCCAACCAGCCAGACAGTTTCTTCCAGTCTGGTGAGGACTGTGTGGTGATGATCTGGCACGAGGGAGGACAGTGGAACGATGTACCCTGCAACTACCACCTCACCTTCACCTGCAAGAAGGGCACAGGTAACACACACACACCAGGGTTGGGGTCAATTCCATTTAAATTCCAGTAAATTCAGAATGTAAACCAAATTTCAATTTTGTCATTGAAAATCGTTGAAGAGAATTGGAATTGGAATTTCAATGTACTTCCTGATTTGATTGGAATTGAATTGGAATTGATCCCAACCCTGACATGCACTCACTCACTCACTCACTCACTCACTCACTCACTCACTCACTCACTCTCGCGCGCACACACACACACACACACACACACACACACACACACACACACACACACACACACACACACACACACACACACACACACAAACACACACACACATTCACACTCACACACACACACACACACCTTACCCCTGTCCTCTCTCCTCCCTCCAGTCTCTTGCAGCCAGCCCCCAGTAGTGAAGGATGCCTGTGTGTTTGGTTCTATGAAGCCTCGTTATGAGATCAACACTCTGGTTCGTTACCACTGTAAAAACGGCTTCATACAGAGACATGTCCCCACCATCCGCTGCCGTGACAACGGCCAATGGGACAGCCCAAAGATCACCTGCATGAGCCGTGAGTACCGTCCACTTCCGCTGTCTCAATGACTACCAGAACTGACTACACACACCATCTAATCAGGGCCTTGATCCAACGACATTAACAATCTCTCCTTTTGTTTTTTCAGCCGCTACCTACCAGAAGTCTTTTGTTTCTAGGCAACGTACCGGAAATCACAATCATAACCAGAATCAGTACAATCACAACACTCAAAACCAGCACCAATACAACTATCAAAACCACCAATACAACTATCAAAAACAACAATATAACAATCCAAATAATCAAGACCAACAGAAGAACTATAACCAGAAACGTCAGGGCAGCCGTAACCAGCAGCAACAGAGCCAGAGAGAGAGGAGACATCAACACTAATCTGATCTCTGGTCAATCCTTAAAAGCACAGATAATGTTGCAAAATTCCAGTAACTTTCCCAAAATTCCGAATTTTTCCAGAAATCCTGGTTCCTGCTTATTCCCTCCCTCCTTCCAACCGGGATTTCTGGAATTTTGAGTAATGTAGTAATCCCAGACCAACTCAGATCGAATCCAAAGGGCTAGCTAGGGCCAGACCCATAGACATACATTCATAACTATTTATAAATATGTATAGCTATGGCTCTGGATAGGGCCGTGGGGGTATTTCACAAGGCATAATCATAATCAGCAAGCTAACTCTGATAAAAACACTTTTCTAATTTATAAACAGGTTTTATAAACATTGTTACACAGAGTATTGAGTCCATTTCAAATTCAACTAGGACAAATTAAAGTTTCTGAATATTTTTTGAAGTTAGCTGGCTAACTTGATCTTGATCTTACTTAGTGAAATCCACCCCAGATCACGTCTGATTCTTCCTACAACTGTGACACACAGTGCCTTAATGGTTAATACAGCAACAATGACCATCTCTAGAACAGGAGAGCTTGACTGTTCCTGCTCTAGAGGTACACATCTCAATCCAGTGCTTTCTGAATATTTCCACTTTACCCTGTTTCTTTTTCCTGAGAAATAATCCACTGAAAAGGCATATAAAATAGATATTTGGCTCACTACTAGAATGTCTGCCTGTGTGCTGGTGACAAGTTTGCAATTATTCCAGTGAAAGAGACCATAGTTTATTATTTGGAATAATGAGCATTCACATAATCACATCAGCAAGTTATGAAGGTTTATATGAATCATTCCATATTTTCTGCTCACAGAATGTGAGATAAAAAGTTGATTGTTCTCATATAACCCCCACCCCCTTCAGAACAGCCTCAATTCGTCGGGGTATGGACTCTACAAGGTGTTGAAAGCGTTCCACACGGATGCTGGCCTATGTTGACTCCAATGCTTCCCACAGTTGTGTCAAATTGGCTGGATGTCCTTTGGGTGGTGGACCATTCTTGATACACACGGGAAACTGTTGAGTGTGAAAAACCCAGCAGCATTGCAGTTCTGGCACCTACTACCATACCCCGTTCAATGGCACTTAAATCTTTTGTCTTGTCCATTCATCCTCTGAATGGCATACATGCACAATCCATGTCTCAATTGTCTCAAGGCTTAAAAATCCTTCTTTAACCTCTCTCCTCCCCTTCATCTACACTGCTTGAAGTGGATTTAACAGGTGACATCAATAAGGCATCATAGCTTTCACCTGGATTCACCTGGTCAGTCTATGTCATGGAAAGAGCAGGTGTTCTTAATGTTGTGTGTACTCAGTGTAGAATTGATTCAATATTGTACATACAGGCAGTATGTCATATGAATTCATTTTATGTGAAAAAAAAAGAAAAGAAAAATGCCACACATTTATCACACTCTATGAAGTGAAAGCAGTCACCTCCCGCAGTGGCTCTCCAGTGTATTCAAAAACATCAGTAATACCTTCATCGTAAAGACAATGGTTTTAAAAGGGAGTGTTTTTTAAAATGTTTAACCATTTTTATACATACAATGATAAAGAGGAAAATATAGAGTAGAATGAATGTCAGGTATGTGGGTGGGCATGTGCTGTGGCTAGGGACCTGACTCATAAGATAGAGGATAAAGTTATATATGAAGACATATCTGTTTAATTTATTGCATATATTACACCTGTTTAGTAAAGTTATACAATCCAGATATCTGAGCTGTTACCACGCTGTGCAGGGGGTTGACCTGTACCTGAGAATCACGCCAAACTGCTCTCAAAAGAACCAACTATGAGAAACATGCAGGTCGTGTTCCCCTACTCAGACGTTGCATTCATCAACCAATGGTTGCGTGCCAGATCATCAACTGTGCCGTCAGGCACCAGATTGCTATAACATATGTTGTTAGCTGATACGTAAAATACCTATCCAGGCACGTCTGAGCAGAGGAACACGACCTCAAAGACACTTGAACTATGACCTTTTAGAAATACAAGTTATTCCTTTTTCCGTAAGGCATAAAATTGGTCCAAAAAAAGAGTAGTTCAAATACTTTTTCAGTATATCCTGTTGCTATCATCTGTAAAATATCTGTATAAATCAATTGGTCCTGATTAAGCATGAACAACAGCACAAAGAGGACACGGTATTGAACGTTTATAGGCTAGTATCTCTGTTCCTCAGTGAGAGGATTCTGCTGCATTTGTCTTCTTTGTTTACTGCTTTCATCCATTCTGTTTGCTCTTCATGTATGTGTTTTATCATCCATGTGTGTTTCTACCCAGAGAGTGATGGGGATACTGTATCGGAGGAGGCAGAGGGAATGTGATTTATCAGAGAATACTTTGTCTGTTTTTATGTTCATGTTTCTGTTGTGTATGTCGCCAAAGACTCACTAATAATGTACCTATACACCATCCTCGGCTCCATCTCAACTTCTGCTGTCTGTGCAATAAAAATATGATAACAGATGTTATCCATGTGTATCAATATTATCACGCTTCATACCTCAATGCAGAAGATTATTCATTACATGCAATTGAGTTTATTGAAATATTATACAAATATTGTCGTTACCTGCAATAAGTATTGACTACCAACAGAGGGAGCCACTTTACTTTATTTTAGAAAGTGGGGATGCATTTCAATGTCTAATGGCGTAAAGAGTCATGGCATATACTCTCACACAGTGAATGAACAAATGAATGAATGAAATGATTGAAGTGAGTGAATGAGTCTATCTTTCCTGTCTGTCTGTCAGTCCAGCCCTGCTGTGTGTTCAGGCAACAGCTAAAGGCTGGGTGGGGGATCCGAAAATAGCACTCTGCTCTGGAAACCAGCATGAAAATATGAACCGTCACCAGTAAAACAAAGTCTCACCCTCATGACGTCATCCAGCTCCTAAAATAATCTGCTGCTTTGACAGACATTTTTCGGTTACAACATCAACGAACAGAACAGGAATACCTTGAAAAGACGTGTACTTCTGTAATTAATAAAATTGGCAGGAAAACACTTTATGCAAATGTCCCCACTCTTTGGAAAGACCTACATTACTGAGGGCATGTGTGTGTGTACCGCTATCCTCCTACTATATCCCCTTCCCCTATCCTCCTACACCTATCCTCCTACTATATCTCCTACCCCTATCCTCTTACTATATCCCTACCCCTATCCTTCTAGTATATCCCCTACCCCTATCCTCCTACCCCTATCCTCCTACACCTATCCTCCTACTATATCCCCTACCCCTATCCTCTTACTATATGCCTACACCTATCCTACTATATCCCCTACACCTATCCTCCTACTATATCCCCTACCCCTATCCTCCTACACCTATCCTACTATATCCCCTACCCTCCTACTATATCCCCTACACCTATCCTCCTACTATATCCCCTACCCTAGGGCTCCTACTATATCCCCTACACCTATCATCCTACTATATCCCCTACCCCTATCCTCCTATTATATCCCCTACACCTATCCTCCTACTATAACCCCTACCCCTATCCTCCTACTGTATCCCCTACACCTATCCTCCTACTATATCCCCTACCCTAGGGCTCCTACTATATCCCCTACACCAATCCTCCTACTATAACCCCTACCCCTATCCTCCTACTATATCCCCTACCCCATCCTCCTACTATATCCCCTACCCCTATCCTCCTACTATATTCCCTACCCCTATCCTCTTACTATATCCCCTACACCTATCTTCCTACTATATCCCCTACACCTATCCTCCTACTATATCCCCTATCCTCCTACTATATCCCCTACCCCTATCCTCCTACTATAACCCCTACATCTATCCTCCTACTATATCCCCTACCCCTATCCTCCTACTATATCCCCTATCCATATCCTCCTACCCCTATCCTCCTACTATATCCCCTACCCCTATCCTCCTACTATATCCCCTACACCTATCCTCCTACTATATCCCCTACACCCATCCTCCTACTATATCCCCTACCCTAGGGATCCTACTATATACCCTACACCTATCCTCCTACTATATCCCCTACCCCTATCCTCCTACTATATCCTCTACCCCTATCCTCTTACTATATCCTATACCCCTATCCTCCTACTATATCCCCTACACCTATCCTCCTACTATATCCCCTACCCTTATCCTCTTACTATATCCTCTACACCTATCATCCCACTATATCCCCTACCCCTATCCTCTTACTATATCCCCTACCCCTATCCTCCTACTATATCCCCTACACCCATCCTCCTACTATATCCCCTACCCTAGGGATCCTACTATATACCCTACACCTATCCTCCTACTATATCCCCTACCCCTATCCTCCTACTATATCCCCTACCCTTATCCTCTTACTATATCCTCTACCCCTATCATCCCACTATATCCCCAACCCCTATCATCCCACTTTATCCCCTACCCCTATCCTCTTACTATATCCTCTACCCCTATCATCCCACTATATCCCCTATTCCTACATCACTCAGCAATGATATACGCACATAGTTGCAAGTCCAGGTATTTTGGTTGTTTTCATGAGACAATAAAAAGCAAGGTTAAGTGTAATTATTTGTTTTATTTTCCTCTCGACTTTAGGTCTAAAAAGTTCCTAACATAGTTACAAACAATACTGCGACTGAGTAATGTTGTATGTACACAAAACTGTACAGGGATGAAAGGATTGCCTGGTTCTAGTTTTTTTCTTCAACTTTTGAAGAATTGATACATTACATGGTTTATTCTTAAAATAAGTAATGGACAGTTCCTGTACCAGACAAAGGGGTTTTGTCAGTAAAGGTTCACAAGGGACAGGTGACTACAGATGAAGAGAAGCATTGCTGATGTTTTCTGACAGATTTGTAACATTCCCTGACAAGCTCTCTCGGGTTCATCATCATCATCACTGTTGTGGCTCATGATTCATGGTTCAAAATGGTTCATCACTGTGCTTTGCTGGCAAGGGAAACAAGTAATATATATACAGTACCAGTGAAAAGTTTAGACACACCTACTGTCGAATAATAGTGAAGACATCAAAACAATGAAATAACACATATGGAATCATGTAGCAACCAAAAAAGTGTTATAAAAAATAAATTTTGATTAGTTTTTTAGATTCTTCAAAATATCTACCCTTTGCCTTGATGACAGCTTTGCACACTCTTGGCATTCTCTCAACCAGCTTCATGGGGTAGTCAACTGGAATGCATTTCAATTAACAGGTGTGCCTTCTTAAAAGTTCATTTGTTGAATTTCTTTCCTTCTTAATGTGTTTGAGCCAATCAGTTGTGTTGTGACAAGGTAGGGGGGGAATACAGAAGATAGCCCTATTTGGTAAAAGACCAAGTCCATATTATGTCAAGAACAACTCAAATAAGCAAAGAGAAACAACAGTCCATCATTACTTGAAGACATGGTCAGTCAATACGGAACATTTCAAGAACTTTGAAAGTTTCTTCAAGTGCAGTCGCAAAAACCATCAAGCGCTATGATGAAACTGGCTCTCATGAGGACTGCCACAGGAAAGGAAGACCCAGAGTTACCTCTGCTGCTGAGGATAAGTTCATTAGAGTTAACTGTATCTCAGACTGCAGCCCAAATAAATGCTTCACAGAGTTTAAGTAACAGACACATCTCAACATCAACTGTTCAGAGGAGACTGCGTGAATCTGGCCTTCATGGTTGAATTGCTGCTTTGAGAAACCACTACTAAAGGACACCAATAAGAAGAAGAGACTTTCTTGGGCCAAGAAACACGAGCATTGGACATTAGACCGGTAGAAATCTGTTATTTGGTCTGATGAGTCCAAATCTGAGATTTTTGGTTCCAACCGCTGTGTCTTCGTGAGACGCAGAGTAGGTGAACGGATGATCTCTGCATGTGTGGTTCCCACCGTGAAGCATGGAAAGATGGTTTGGGGGTGCTTTGCTCGTGACGGTGTCAGTGATTTATTTAGAATTCAAGGCACACTTTACCAGCATGGCTACCAAAGCATTCTGCAGCAATACGCCATCCCATCTGGTTTGCGCTTAGTAGGACTATCATTTGTTTTTGAACAGGACAATGACCCAAAACACACCTCAAGCCTGTGTAAGGTGAGTGATGGAGTGCTGCTTGATCTACACCATCTTTGCGTTTAGTGTTGCTCTTTTGTTGTCCTAGGTTTAATTGAACAGAAAAGGTAAGTGCCCAAAGGTATCAGTCCAATTATCAGAAGTTGTACTGGGTTGTTCTCAGTCCAAGCATGTCCTTCAGGCTATGGCATGACTAATCCATCATCATTATCTCCCCTCCCTCCCTCCCTCCCCCCCCCTCCCCCATCCCCCCCATCCCTCCCCCCTCCCTCCCCCCCCTCCCCTCCCTCCCTCCCTCCCTCCTCCCCTCCCCTCCCTCCCTCCCTCCCTCCCTCCTCCCCTCCCTCCCTCCCTCCTCCCTCCCCCAAATCCATCTTCCCTTTCTGTTCCTGCATAGAAACAAGAGATTTATTAACATGAACCTTAAATATGCGTAAACTATCCACGTATAATTACAGGTCCCAGATTACATAAAAACATGGATTTTGTCTCACACCCCGTGTTTTACAGTATCTAAAAAGAAAACATCACAGTTTTAATGTTTTTTTCATACCACTTACTTCCTCCACATGACCTCCCTCTCTCCTATCTCCTCTCCCCCATCCCCCTCTCCCTCCTTCTCTCTGTAAATGTAATAGGTTCTCTAGTGTGTGTGTGAGTGTATTGGGTTCTCAGTTGTGGCCTTTGAGGCAGTAGACTCCATACAGCTTCTGTTTCTTGTCGGGGTAACCGTTGAACCTCACAGCAGCTTCCGCTGGGCTGCAGCGCCTGCGGGGGCGGGTGATAGGGTAACGCACGCTCCCATCAGCCAACCAGCCGGCGTCACAGCGGTCGTAGCCCAATAGCTTCCAGGCGGCGTACATCTGGCCCACCTTGGCAATCTGAGCACCATCCTTCTGACACGCACGCACAGCCTCGTCATACGTCAGCTTGGAGGGGTGGATCAGGTAGTACAACCGCCCTGAGATAGGGAGAGAGGGAGAGGGTTAGATACACACACACACACTCAACCCCCCTCACCACACACACACACACTCCCCTCCCCCCTCTCACCTTTGTAGTTGGAGGTAAAACAGAACACGTCATATCTGTTCTTCTCCTTGTCTCCGAAGCCGTAGTTGCGGATCCCCGGGACAGTGTTCTTGCCCCCACAGGGTTCCCTGGGGGTGGTGATGGGATACTGGACGGATCCATCACTCAGCCACCCTGCGTTGCACCAGTCCAAACCCCCACGCCACGCCTCATACAGCTGGTCAAACGACGCCACGATGGAGTCCTGATCGCGACACGCTCGCTCAGCGTCGAAGAAGTTCAGGTTGTAACGACCCAACCGAGGGAAGTAGGGGTAGACAATACCTGGGAGGGGAGAGAGGAGTAGAGAGGGAGAAGGCGGGAGATGGGGAAGAGAGAGGAGAGGGGAAAGAGAGAGAGGGCAGAAGAGAGGGGAGAGAGAGAGAGAGGGAAGAGAGAAGAGAGGGGAAAGAGAGAGAGAGGGCAGAAGAGAGGAGAGAGAGGGAAGAGAGAGGAGAGGGGAAAGAGAGAGAGGGCAGAAGAGAGGGGAGAGAGAGAGAGAGAGAGAGAGAGGGAAGAGAGAGGAGAAAGTCAACATCCCAACAGCAATAAATAAAACATCAATTTGCTTTGGATTTTATGTCCTCACTTAATCTCTCTTTAAACAAAACATGAGTTGTAAAAAGACAAACTGTAATAGCTAAACCCCATTACCTTATATAAAATCCTACTATTTCTGTTCCAGTGTTGTGTTAGTGGGTGGTGGCTGTAGGTCTGTAGCTCCAGGCTTTAGATTGCCAATGGTTGATCATTCTCATATTTAATGGAGCAGGTCTGGCTGGGTGATGTATGGAGTTATACCCTGTTCCATGGAGGAAAGCCAGGAATGGAAATCTAATTGATGAACTCCATTACTCTGGCCTGACTGTGTGTGTATGTGTGTGTGTGTGTGTGTGTGTGTGTGTGTGTGTGTGTGTGTGTGTGTGTGTGTGTGTGTGTGTGTGTGTGTGTGTGTGTGTGTGTGCGTGTGCGTACATGCTTGTGCATGAGCGTGCTTGTGTGTGCACGTGCATGCGCATGCCTGTGTGTGTTTGTGCACGTGCGTATGTGTCCCCTGACAGTCCTCCTGGGTAGTCTCAGCTCGTGGTAATATATAGCCAGAACCCTGGGACAGCTAGACAAGGACAGGCTGCTACAGAGTTTCCACAGTAAATAGACTTTATCAACAGGACACAGTCACTTTACCACAGCCCAGTCACTTAAAATAATGGTTCTCCCAAAAAGTTAGTCAGACATTTCCATATCTCAAAAGTGATCGGAAGGCACACTGAGTGCATATTAAATGCTAACTGTGTGAGGACATACTTTCAGTGTGTGTGTGTATGTGTGTCTACGAGCATGCATGCATGTGTGTGTTACCTTGCAGGTCCAGAGACACCACGCCCGTTCCGTCTTCCAGCCCGTCGATGACCTCACACTTATATCTCCCATAATCCTCCAGTGTGAGCTCTGTGATGACCAGCGACGCATCGGTAGGAGCCGAGTCCTGTAGGTAGACGCGTCCATGGAAACGTCCGTAACTCCGCTTGTGGAAACCCATGGCAACGAACACATCCACCTAGAACAACACGAAGAAGGATTTGTAATTGATGTCATCAGTTGGCTCCAATGGATACTTCCTGGACTCTTTTATGACATGGACTATCCCCCATAGTGCAATACTTTTGACCAGACCTGTACATTATCTGACTCTGACCAAAAGTCCTGCATTATGTGGATGGAAAACGAGGTTTGATTCGAGTAGTACCCTGGTCTATTTTATGACATTGGTTCTAGTAGAATCCCACCTCTTTGAGGTAGTCTGAGGTCAGCTTGGTCCATTTGATCCTCAGTTTGGGGTTGGTGGGCAGTGACGCATCTCTGTGGAACTTACAGGGCAGGGTGGTGTTTCCCCCCCGCCTCGACACCACCTTGGACTGCTCCGTCACCACAGAGAGCCGAGAGCCATTCTCTGAAATAGAGGGGTGGGTTATACAATTAGTAATCGAGGGGTGGTTCTCTCTACCTATTTCCCTTGCTCTACAGTATGTCTCCCTCTCTCACTAGCTCAGCAACAACAACACTAACCCATTGTTTTGTTCTTTGTATCTAATCAACAAATTGGCTGGTTTATTTTCTCTGAATGGTATTTAACCTGTTATCACATTATCCCATATGAAACTGATTAGCAAGAACTGGGCATGGAAGCAAATGCTTGCTCAATAGCTAAATAGTTCCCATCCCTGTTTTTCCGAAGCACATGAGCTCAGTTGTGCAACCCTGTCACAAACACGGTGATGATGTAACTTTTTTAACATTGTGTTATTGTGCAGCTTGTTTTTACAAACAGTTCTGCATTGTAATTGTTTAAACATTTGTAATGTAGCTTGTTGTTAAATGTTGATGTATTGACAGTGACCGGTGTATTAGGAAAATCTGTAGTCAATATCAGGTTCCAAACATCTGGCCTGTCTATGAGAGAATGATTGGTTTATTATGATGTCTATAGATATAGTAATAATATGAACTACTGCCAGTCACGCATAATACAATTACTCCAGGTATCATTAACATGTATTTAAAGTATACTTCAAACACATTCACACCCAACCACACACTAATTTGTTTTCAACTAAATTGCTACCAGGTATCAAAGTCACTTTTAGGGCTCTATTCAACCTGTATCGCTGAAGCGTTACAGATTACGCGATAGAAATGTAAAGGTCATTTCCGATTGATCAGTGTTTACCGTGAATGCAGTCTCTGCAAACGTGGGAACATTGCCTTTAAATTTCAATCACGCTGTAACACTAACCTTCCGCGATACGGATTGAATAGAGCCATTAATATTCAGAAAGTTTATGAACACCCACCCTTTCCTACTTTAAAACAGACTCTGGTTCCAGGGTTTTCTTCTAATCCAGCGTGACTGTGTAGTCCTCCATTAGCTCATCATGTGTTTGATGTTTACCTAATCCTCTCTTCCTGGTGTGGAGCAAATTGATAAGTCTAATATATCTAGAGGCACTATGTAAACAATGGAGTATCCTCAGCCAACCTGCTCGGTGATGTCACCACTGGCAGCGTCGTTGGGTACACAAAGTCTTACTGGTACATTTACGCCCTGTAGTCTTACTGTGTGTGACAAGCTTGACTTCCCTTTCAATCACCCACCAGGAACAACTCTCACTTTTGCAAAAACAATTATTGGTTTCTACTTAAATGTAATTGACCACCAGAGGGCGTTCATTTGGGCCTCAATGTGGCACACACAATCAATATAAGAAGTGACTCTCGTCTCTCGTGTCTACAGAACATGAAGACGTTCCAGATTTCCAGCTGCTGTTAGAAGGGTAAGTTTAAAGCCCCTGCTGTGTGTTCCTCTGTAGTATGACCCTCAGACCTCGGACATTCTCCAACCCCCATCCCGCAGCCCGCAGCCTTAACCTGCATTACAAGCTGTCTTTCCTCACAATACGCAGCATTTGGACAGGACAAGACTGTCTGAGCATCCCAGGGTCTCACCTCATCTACACAAAGCGAATAACACTCTCTGTGGTGGTTCTATTTGATTGGAACACATAATCCATGCTATACTGGCTGATGGTGTAAGTAACGTGGATTATTGAACCACAGTCTGTCTGTTGAGTAACCTTTTCTGAGACTTGAAGACATACATTAGCTCCCCGGGGTATTGCCTTGCTTTAGTTCAGCAGACTAACAAAGTCTTGAAGCATGTAGGAGACCCAGGTTCAAAGCCAATCGTTCTCAATAGCACATTGATCCTAGGTCTGAGTGAGTTAGCAATTCCTCCCTCCAGCCAAGTCAGTGAATCTGCCTCCTGAAACTACGATCGATGCTGAAGCTAATTTCTCCACAATAGTTGAACAGAACTGCTTACCACACACACAGAACTGCTTACCACACACACAGTACAGTACTGCTTTAGCTGGAGAGCTGCTTCATCCATACCACTGCTGGTACCACACACTACCACAGTACTGTATGTGGTAAAACAGACTATATATTGTCACTCCAAAGACAGTCCAGTAGCCAATACACAGTCACAGCACCTGGTTTTAAACATGACACCAACAGTGACATATCTGCCCTGCAATCTGCCTCTACAGCCCCAATAAAGAGAGATAGTTGATAGGTTATCACGCAGAGCAAACAAGACCCCACATAATTGCCCAATGTTTTTCATTCAACAGTTGCAGTGCATGAGGATAAACACACACACATAGAGAGACAAGATGATACTATGAAACTACAGGCAATATTTCAGGAGTATGTATTAGAGCTGGGACGATAAACCGAAAATTACAGACACCGACATTGCCTTCCTCTTACTGAAGCATTTTGCTGACTTTGGAAAATGTTGATTTTGCTAACCAACGTTCCTGTAGATAGTTCTAAAACCATTATTTGATCAACAGTAATAGCCATGCATTATGTTGATTCCTGCTATGAAAGTATCTATGAAAATGCTATGAAAGTCCCTGTTTCACTGTCATCTTCTGGCTCTCACTCCCTCTCCCCACTGTGCACACGGAAGAGGGTGAGATTCTGAGAAGGACAAGCATGCATGTGCTGTTAATCAAAATACTATTACGGGACAAAAACAGCTTTCAAAGCAACTACTGTTGTTTTAGTTACAGAGAGGAGAGTCACAGCTTTCTGTGAGTATATCATTTATTTCTCCCCTCTTAATATTGAGTACATGGCATGGCTCCACTGTACAACTGGAGCAGGCTGTAGTTAGTATGGTTTTAATGCGCCCACGGAGCCGAGCTGAGCACGCCATGTGCAGAGAATAGACCTACATCAAGTAGCCTCCCACTGGGCACAGACGTCAATTCAACATCTATCCACGTTGGTTCAACGTAATTGAATTGAAATGACGTAGAAACAACGTTGATTCAACCAGTGTGTGCCCAGTGGGCTAGGCCTAGTGCTGTAATGCTTTTGTAGGACATTAGCCTACAATTACTGATATACTGAACAAAAATATAAATGCAACATGTAACAATTTCAAAGATTTTACTGAGTTAGTTCATATGAGGAAATCAGTCAATTGAAATAAATTAATTAGGCACTAATCTATGGATTTCACGACTGGGAATACAGATATGCGTCTGCTGGTTGCAGATACCTTTAAAAAAGAGGTAGGGGCGTGGATCAGAAAACCAGTCAGTATCTGTTGTGACCACCATTTGCCTCATGCAGAGCATTGATTGTGGCCTGTGGAATGTTGTCCCACTCCTCTTAAATGGATGTGCAAAGTTGCTGGATATTGACGAGAACTCGAACACGTTGTCGTACACGTCGATTCAGAGCATCCTAAACATGCTCAATGGGTGACATGTCTGGTGAGCTATTACATGAGGTACATGAGGTATGCTATTACATGAGGTGATGGCGGCAGATTAATGGCACGACAATCGGTCTCAGGATCTCATCACAGTATCTCTGTGCATTCAAATTGCCATTGATAAAATGCAATTGTGTTCATTGTCCGTAGCTTATGCCTGCCCATACCATAACCCTACTGCCACCATGGGGCACTCTGTTCACAACGTTGACATCAGAAAACCGCTCGCCCACACAACGCCATTTATGTGGTCTGTGGTTGTGAGGCTGGTTGGACGTACTGCCAAATTATCTAAAACAAGGTTGGAGGTGGCTTATGGTAGAGAAATTAACTTTCAATTCTCTGGCAACAGCTCTGGTGGACATATGTGGCATTGTGTTGTGTGACACATTTTAGAGTGGCCTTTTATTTATTACATAGGACCAACACTTTATATGTTGTGTTTTTATATTTTGTTCAGTGTAGATTAATCAATTAGCCTACATGGCTATCTAGCAAAAACATTGTATCCTATTTTGACAAGTTGCACATCAAAATATCATTAAAGCATTTCCTAGATATCTGGGATGAAATAGCTTATTTTTTTAAATCATAGGCTACCATCTCAGTTGTCTTACTAGGCACTGGAAAAACGTGTCTAGAGCCCTGCCGCTAATGTAAAGTAACTATCCACTGAAACTTTTTTATTATTGTAGTATTTGTTGTTATCGAGCAAAACAGCTCAATTTACCGCAATATTACTTTTTGTCCGATTTATCGTTATCACAAAAACAGGTGAATGTATCGCGATATGTATTTTGTCCATATGGACCAGCACTACTGTGTATCATAAACGAAACAGAGACAGTTGTAATACTATCAATGCAGATGGAAGTCACACACACACTGGTGTCTACCTTGAACGTAGATGGTTCTGTAGTGCTCCAGATCAGGGTATGCTGTGTCAAAGTTGTCTGCTAAGCTCAGAGAGACCAGGGTACAGATCAGCACAGGAAGCATCTTCTGTCTCTACACTGGGGTCTGCTCACTGGGAGGGAGAGAGAGAGAGAGAGAGAGAGACAGAGACAGAGACAGAGACAGAGAGAGAGAGAGAGAGAGAGAGAGAGAGATAGAGAGAGACAGAGAGAGAGACAGAGAGAGAGAGAGAGAGAGAGAGAGAGAGGGAGGTGGGGAGATAGTCAAACGGTGGGGAAACAATATCACAGAACAGCTGGTGGTGAGACAGAGAAAGAGAAAAACACACACAGTAAGGTGCTCATTACCAGGATCAAGTAGAAAGTATAAAGATAGAGAAAGAGCGGGTCAGAAAATCCTCACATACCAGCAAACACACCTGCCGCCATGAAGGGTGTTTTTGTGTGTGTGTGTGTGTGTGTGTGTGTGTGTGTGTGACCTGAGAAAACTAGCTTTTCTCAATGTCATCACTGTCATCATCACAGTCATGATAACTACAGTAGTCATTATCATTATCATGATCTTCAATGTCATTATCACTCATCATCTCAATCCTTTTCACTATCATAAGCATCACTCAACATTATTCCCACTATCACACTCCTATCAACATCATCATCTCTTTATCACAGTCATGATCAC